GAGATTTATGATGCCATGATGTGGAAACACAATGGTAATAAAAAAAACATCTGAAGTGGTGTGAAAATTCCTTATAAAGAATGGGGATGATAGGATCTATGACCACAAAATCCTATGGACCAACTATCCATGTGTCTACATCTGTGTGTTCAGAGCCATGTCTCCCAGGCACAGAAAACAACATATCAAGTATCTCCTGTTGTTATACCTATGGCAATATACTGCTCAAATGAAATGGGTCAGTTAATGAACTTTTGTTAAATCAGTGCTAACCTGTGGAAGATGTCTGATAATATACACAGGGGTTATTCTACATGACCATTACGTGGTTATTATTATTATTTTTCAAGTTGGCACTTAGTGCTCAAGGGGAGTGGTTCTAAATACTAAAATGACTTTTCCCCAAAATGGTCTCATCTCAAACAAGTGAAATGATGCACATTATTCTGATGCATTAGTGCAGGCACAAGTTCCATAACCCTCTCAGTGTCATAACCCCATTTAGTGCCATTGTCCTAGATTGGAGTTGAGAAATGCTGCAGCCAGTTCCATAATTATTGGCACCTTTGAAAAAGATGGGCTAAAATAGTCATGAAAAATGTCTTTGTGGTTAATTAGCCTCACACTGAAAATATATGAGCTTAAAAAATGTAAGAAATCTTAACATTTTATTGAACTAAATTTAGACTAAAACTTATCAAAGAAAATGCATGTTTCTCAATTATCATATCCATAAATACGCTCCTCTGTCTGCTTTCTTTGTGCTGCTGAATATGTTGATTTTGCTGGATAGATGATTGAAAAAGTAATTTTATTGCAATTCTTAGACTAAAATGATTCTCAACAGCTGTCATTCAGAATGTAAACAGTACCTGAAAAGTTAATCATTAGTTTTGTTCCATGGCAGACAGCTAAATTTTCACAAGGTAACATCTTCCTAGTATAGTCTAATCTAAGCCCAGCATGTTTAGCTGCACCGCTACGCAGGCAAGCGGCAACTTTTAATGGAAGTTTAGTCATATGTACGCTGCAAATTCTGCAAGTTAAGCTTAATGTGTCACCTTTTGACAGCATAGATAAACAGCCCCAAAACATTGCAGATCCTCCACCATACTCCACAGTAGCCACGTGCAGCCTGATAATCCGTTAATAATCCGACTAATAGCTCAATCGGAATAGAACACGTCCATGTAAACACCTCAATCGGAATAGTCTAGCCCGATTGAAGCCATTCGGAATACAATTTCTATCCGACTGAACGAGGTGGGTAAACCTCTAAATAATCCGTTAAATAGAAGAATAATAGCCATGTAAACGCCTGAATCCGATTACATTCCCAATCGGAACGTGTAAGTATGTTCTGCGCATGTGCGTCGCGTCATGGCGAAAGTTTATACTGTTCAGCATGGCGGAGCAGAAACTGGTCTGCAGAGGAGACGAAGTTTATGCTCTGAGCTTTAAAAAGCGGCGGTGGGACGGACGACCAGCTTATGAGTCTCAGAACACGACGTCTTCCTCTCGCCGCTTCCTTTATAAGCACATGTGAAGCACGTTTTCCTGAGTCTGACATCATTTTAAAGCAATTAAAACACAAGCGCGCCAACTGGAAACTCATCTCACGCGGACTGGACCTCACGTGATGTTCGCTGTCATGGTAACGTTTACTCTAAACGCTACTCCACGCATGCGCGTCATATTGCATCGGATTACTTGTAGTGAGCATGTAAACGAAGATTTTCCATCAGATTGTTGAATAGAGTGTGCATATAAACACCTCAGTCTGAATCTGTAATCGGATTGTATTCAATCGGATTGGCAAAAATCTTTGCATGTAAACACAGCCAGTGAGGATGAGGGGTTATTTTTTTTTTGTATTACTATCCTTGTATTATTATCCTACACCAAACCCACCTTACAAGATCTTTTAATTTTCCATAAATCTGTATTTTTGTCTCATTTGACCATAGAGTTCTGTCAAACTCAAAGCACCAGTAGTGTCTCCAGTTGCTTACATTTGTTAGATTCCAAACACTGACACTGACATGGAGGTGGTGTCTAATTGTAGCTTTAGAGACTTGGTGACCCCAAAATGCTGCCATCTTCAGCGAGTCTCCAAACTAGATCCTTTTTGTCTCTCTAACCATCCTACTCACTGTGCAAATGGGTTAAACACGCTTCCATCTTATTTTAAGCTCAGTTATTGCCCTGAGGATGTGGGCATTTTCAGGTGTGTAGAAGGTCAACACACTTTTAGCTCATTTCATTTGCATATTCTCTAATCCTGCCCCATGTAGATGAATGAATGAGTAAATTCGGACTATGTGAGTCCATCCGGATTTTTACTTTTTTAAAGTCTGCATGGAGTATTAAAGAGCAACTTGACCCCACTATTTTCAGCTAACTCCACCACTGGCTCAACTTTGAAAATGCCCAAAAATGGGAGGGGCACACTGAGAGGGGCACTGCAGTGATCTACGGGTTTGGAGGTGGGGCTGCGAGGGAAACCAGGTGGGCTGGGCTGCTGTGTTTTCAAGTGCTAGCGTACATTAGCTACCAGAAAATATGGAGAGTCACAGAATCAAACAGCACTTTTGCAACTGAGAGGTCTTACAAGGCCGACGATTTTTCTACACTACCATCCCCATCTTCTACGAGGGAAGGTGTTTCTGATCAGGCAGTGAGTCATGAGTCTTAACAGTATCAGCCACTGACTCAAACCACTGAAGGGTCAACGTAGTGCAGGAAAATGATCAACAGCGAGCGGCAGAGGCACCGAATGGTAGAACATTCCCTAAAACCGTAACAGCTAGCTTCGAATTATCTGTTCAGCAGGTCTATATTCAGTATATCCTGAGTCCTGATTTCATAGATGCGCTGAATTCCGAATGTATGAAGTGGATTTCTTTGAACACTAAGTTTCATTCAGTTTGACTTTAAGGTCGCAGACTGCATCACCGGTCAGACAGGGTTTGCTGCAGTGGCACTAAATCCTTATCTTCTGCAAGCTGTTCATGGCACTTACTGGTGTTATATCCGATTCACTTCCCACTTAAATTCACGTTTCCCTTCATAATTCAAACTCTCGTGCGCCGCACTCACTGAACAGAAATCAACGGCAAGCAACACAGAAACTACGGAAAGCAGAAAAAAGGTGGAGAAAGGCAGTATGGATGAAAGGTTGGCACAGTCGGCCATGTAACGTTAACTTTTCCTGAACCTTTTCGCTTTCCATAGTTCCAGTGCTGCTTGCCACCCTTGTGAGGTGGTGCTGGGGGTATTAAGCTCAGTGCATGAGTGTGGTTGTCTCCTCGCTCTAGGCTCCTATGCTTTCACATTTATGAGTGCAGCGTGAGTAGGGCCTCATCAGGGGCTGGTAACATTCTTTGACTGATTTGCATACTGTGACGTGTATGAAGTATGAAGGTCATCCGCACCTAGAGCAGAGTTGAACCAGAGGAGTGCAGCAGAGGCAGAACTGACCATGATAAAAATGATATTTTTACAGGTTTGGAAAGATGTGTTCACATTTTTAGCAAGGCTGGTATATTTCATTATTATAGAGCAGTGCACTTCAGATGTTAATGAAAAAAAGGCCTTAGGATGTAATTGTGCTTTAATCAGGCATCCAGTACTTCCTGTTTTACTAGGGTATAAATATGAGGTGATTCTGTTTCATTCAATTATATAAGAATTTATAAGGGCTGCCAATAACTGACATATTTTATTTTTTTACAGGTTTTTGTGTTTTTAGACTAAATTTACCTCAATTACATGTTAGATTTCTTACCAATCTTTTTCAAAGTTGCCAATAATTATGGTGCTGATTCACTCATAAGGTGTCTCACTGGCACAAAAAATGCATCTCCAGTGCAGGTTTTGTACTGGTCTATCCAGACATTCAAAGATTTTGGGCTAGGGTACTAGAAATTACTGGGTCAGCACTGACACCAAACTCTCAATCTCATGGGTTACAATCTCTTATTGATGTCATGAGGGGTGTTACGGTTAACTGCTTTCTTGCAACATGTTACAAACCTATTAAGCACATACAGAGATGGAAACCCTTCAGTACCGCTTACCATCCAACTTCAACCCCTTAAAGTATGATACAAAATATCACAAACATAATGGAACTTAATCAACAAGTTTAAAAAAAATCAAGAACCTCAATAGTTATGCATGAAAAAGCATTTGTATTCAGCCTGGTGATGCACAAGTGCTTAAATTAATTTTCGGGGTGGCAGATTGAGATAATTAAAATTGCCTTTGTGGAGTTCACACATCTGAGTTTGATAGGTTTTTCTCAGGTAGACCTGTTCTTGTATGCACATTTTACCCATTAAATCCAGCACATGCTTTTAAACCAAAACAAATTGAGTAAAAGAAAACATGAAGTGAAAAAGCAGACCACAGTTCAAGACTCAGATTCTTCAGAAAACACTTTAAAAGAGGTGATGTTATTATGCTTAGGTGTAAAAACAGCATCCAGGAAAAGCTAAATCCTTTATGAACAAGAGAAGCTTGTTAAAATAAGAAAAATCATAATAAGAGATAGACTGAAATACTTGAAACATCTCGCACAAAAGATGGAAAAGTAACATTTAAATGTCTCAAAGGTGCACTTTCACTTGCTTTCCTCTACTGTTAACATTCTGGACTGACTGACTCTTCTTCTATTCTCTTCAGACGATTTTCAGACAGGAAAAAATATAAAAAATAAAGTGAAACTTGGACTCAGGAGCAGGCTTTCAACTTTTTTTCCATCTTACCCTTGAGGGCTTCTATAGACGAAAACCCAAAAGGCAGAACTACGTAAATACGTGCGTCATTTCTGGGTTGTGCATTCTCAGTTGACAATTTCTCCTGTTACCTTTAGATAAAACAACTATCCTGTGATTCCTGTCCTGCCACATTCTTCCTCTTGATGGTTTAACTTTCATCAGAACATTGTTTGTGTCTGTGTTCCTTTCACACCACATCTTGCTGTCTTTCTCTAAGAACACACCCCTGGAACACTGAATTAAGCTCCACCACAAATTTCTATTCCTTCACTCCAGTTTCAGACAGTGAGTTCTCAATATGAGGTCTCTTTCATGTCTTTTTGTGCTGGGGGTGGCTGTAATGTTGGGGTTGCAGTTTCAATTCAGTGTTACAGAGTCCATGTATGGGGCGTATGCACCTGGGGACATTGTCATTGGGATTCTGAGCTCAGTTCACACTGACATAAAAGATCTTCAGCCTTGGATCCTTCCAGATACGTCTGTCTGTATAAAGTGAGTATTAGGAGTTTCCTTGGTTGTATCAAATTGCTTTAAAACAATATCCTCACATAATTACCTCTACGTATTAAAACCACACTCTCATTCTAACTAATGTTCTTTGTCTCTTTATTTCAGCTTTGATCTATTAACATTTGTACTATCTTTAGCTTCAATTCACACAATTGAAATGATCAATGACTCTGGATTTCTTCCTGGGATTCAGCTTGGACATCTGATGTGTGATCCGTGTGCATATGCAACCAAGGCCGTACAGTGTGTGGCGGACATGCTGGCTGTTAATGGGTCACTTACAGTCCTCTCTGACTTTTCAAAATTCAGTCCACCTGTGAAAGCCTTCCTTGGCGAAAGATACACTGAAACATCTATTCCTGCTGCCAAACTGATTAGCCTGTACAAGATTCCCCAGGTAATACTGAATAACTTGTCATTATTATGTTTGTTTGTTTATATATTTATGCAAGATATTTTCTATGTAGTCATTTTTTCATTAAACTGTTTGTGATCCACCAGGGTCTGTGTGGATCCTTTCTGATCCTTTCTCTGAGTTTGCATGGTCTCCCCGTGTCTGTGTGGGTTTCCTCCCACAGTCCAAAGACATGCAGTCAGGCTAATTGGACACATTATATTGCCCCTAAGTGTGGTTGTGTGTGTGGATGTATATGTATATGTCCAGTGATCGCTGGGATGGGCTCCAACACCCCCCTGTTCTTATTATATAATTTTACTCTTCAATTGTTAAGCTGCTTTGTGTAAGAAAGGTGCTTTATAAATACAATGTATTTTTATTATTATTATTATTATTATTATTATTATTATTACTATTATTATTATATTGTTAAATTGTTATATGAAATTAGGGCCACAGTATTGTTGTTGACAAACAAAATAGTTAATAAAAAAATTCACAAGCACATTTATGAAGAAAAATGTCTGAACAATTAAATTTAGGGCAAAATGGGGCCAGTTTTTGCTTGGTTGTTGATTTCTAAACAGCTTCATTCCTTTGGACACCAACACAGTTTTTCTTGCACATTTTCATTCATATAAAATCAGTTCAGTTTCTTCCTTCTTAATGTTATGTTACATGTACACTAAAAGGATCAGTTTATATCTAAACATTTCAACTTTCTCATTACAGGTGAGTTGCACATCTTCTGCAGCAGCCCTAAGTGACAAGTTACGCTACACATCCTTCTTTCGTGTCATTCCAAGTAACATATACCAGACACAGGCATTGGCAAAGCTGATGAGGCACTTTAACTGGGACTGGATTGGGGTTATGAGCCTTGATGATGATTATGGTAAAGGTATCTATGAGAACTTTGTGCGTCATGCAGAGAAAGAGAGGATATGCTTTGACTTTGATGAAGTGGTATCAAACTACGGTAATGTGAAACAGCGCATCAAGGAGGTGGCTGATATTATCCGAAACTCCACTGCTAAAGTTGTGGTGCTCTTCCTAAGAATTCAGCAGGTAGAGATGCTCTTTGAAGAGATGATTAAGACAAACACTTCTCGAATCTGGATCGCCAGTAACACATGGTCTATGTCTCGCCTCTTAATGAAGATGAAGGGCATAAACAAGGTGGGAGACATTCTTGGCACTACCTTCATCACAGGGAACATCCCAGGTTTTGAAGACTACCTCCAGAATCTGAGGCCACGTCCAGGGGCGAGAAATGACTTCATCAGGGAGTACAAACAAATGAGATTTAACTGCAGTCAGCAGTCGGAGCACACGTCCCCTTTAGCCTGCAATGTGACAGACCCCCAGGAGGCAAACGATGACTACCTGCTAGATGCTGTGGACGTGACGGAGGCCTACAATCAGAGAATAGCAGTGTATGCTGTAGCTCATGCCATGAAGAAACTTCTTCAGTGCAATGACACTGCCTGCTCTGGAGATACCAACTTACCGCCGTATAAGGTAAAAATGGGGTGTAATAATATACAACCCCATTTCCAAAAAAGTTGGGATGCTGTGCAGAATGTACAGAATGCAATGCTATGCAAATCATGTAATACTGCAAAGACAACATATCAAATGTTAAAACTGAGATCTGAAAAAAGTTGGGACAGGGGCAAGTTTACCACTGTGTTTCATTACCTCTTCTTTTAACAACACTCTGTACATTTGGGAACTGAGGAGACTGCTGTAGTTTAGAAAGTGAAATGTTTTCCCATTATTGAATACTACATCATCATGAATACTGGCTTTTGAACTGTGCACTGATAACAAGCTGAGTGGTCTTTTAGCCCGGAGGTCACAGTGTCCATGATTTCCAAAAAAAAATTCAAATGTTGATTTGTCAGACCACAGGACACTTTTCCACTTCCCCTCAGTCCATCTTAAATGAGCTTGGGCCCAGAGAAGGTGGCAGCATTTCTGGATCCTGTTTATGTACAGTTTCTTCTTTGTGTTTTAAAGTTTTAACTTGTATTTGTGGATGCAGCGACGAAGTGTGTTCACAGACAGTGGTTTTTAAAAGTGTTTCTGAGCCCATGCAGTGATTTTTCAACTGCAAAATCATGTCTGTTTTTAATGCAGTGCTGCCTGAGGGCCCAAAGACCGTGGCCAGCAAATATTGTTTTTTGGCCTTGTCCCCTACATACAGAGATTTCACCAGATTCTCTGAATCTTGTAATGCTATTATTATTAATGTTATTAGATGATGAAAAGCAAAACTTATTTGCTGTTTTATGTTGAGAAATGTTATTCTTGCCTGGGCAGTGGTGAATTCCTCCTCATGTTTACTTCTGAAAGCCTCTCTGGGATGCGTTTTTATACACAGTCATGTTACTGATCTGTTGTCAATCAACCACCAGGTGTTTTTTTAGCATTACACAACTTTACCAGCCTTTCGTGCCTCCGTCCCAACTTTTTTGGAATGTGTTGTTGGCATCAAATTCATAATAGGCATGTATTTTTCAAAAAAACAATGAAATTTCTCAGTTTCAAAGTTTGATATGTTATCATTGTACTATTTTCAATTAAATATAGGGTTTAAATGATTTGCACATCATTGCATTTTGTTTTTATTTACAACTTTTTTGGAAATGTGGTTGTACATCTTGCTTGTTACACATTACTGTTAATTATCAATATATTTAATAGTAAAAATTTTTATACAATCATTAAGTTTTTTTACAGGGAATACTACTTTCTTTGTAGAGTTTTAACGAAGTAAAATTTACTGTATTAGGTTTGCTGTTCATCATGTTTTGATAGTTCTGGGTTGCAAACACTAGTATTTAGCATTCAGTATTATTTTAGTTGAGATCATTCTGTTAACTATATAAATAAAGGAAGGTTTATTCCTCTGCATTTACAGCTTGTGGACATTCTTCGTAAGGTGAACTTCACTTTGGACAATCAGACATACTCCTTCAATGAAAATGGTGAATTTGAGAATGGTTATGACGTCATGATGTGGAAACAGAATGGTGATGAAAAAGTATGTGAAGTGGTAGGAAAGTTTCTAATAAAGACTGGAGACATTGAGATCTATAAACACAAAATCCCCTGGACCAACAATACGGTGAGATAAAATGACAAAATGTCTGTACCACAGTGCATTAGCATTATCTAAAGCATTAATAACTAAAAACCCTTCTTCTTTACATCCAGGTGCCCTGGTCAAGGTGTTCACAGCCATGTCCCCCTGGCACAGGGAAGAACATATCAAGCATCTCCTGTTGCTATGACTGTACTAACTGTACTGAAGGATTTTATTCTAATGAAACAGGTGAGTAAGATAATAAACTGTTGTTGAAGCAATGCTAACCAGTGGACGATGTCTGATGTCTGGGTTATTCTAGATGGTTATTCTAGAGTTATTTAAGATCATTATTCCTTCTCCACCAAACTTTTCTTGCGCTGACATTGCTTTTGGAGCCAAACTCTGTATATAGACACTTTTCAGTGAGCTGTTGTTGCTGCTAGACATTAACACTTTAGAAAAACTGCATTTACAACTGATCGGGGCAGCTCTAGTGCAGCTGAAATTTGACAAAGTAAAATGTTAAAAAGTGGTAACTTATAACAGTGCCATATTGAAAGTCACTGAGCTCTCATTCTACCGCAAGTGTTTCTCTACAGAAACTCTACAGCTGCTTGATTTTGTGCTACTGTTAACAATGTGTGAGGCTGAAATAGCTAAACCGACTAAGAAGTAGGAATGTCCACATTCTTTCGGCTATATAGAGTATGTCTGTATTAAATACTTGAACTTGATATAAAATATAAAGTTGCTAAAAGAGTTTTGGAGCAATGTCACAAAATAGCCCTTTTTGGTATATTGTGTAGAAACGAAAACAATTAATAATTCTGTCTATATTACCCACTTAAATGTCAAATGTTTCTCTTTCTTTCTCTACACAGATCAGCACACTTGTAAACAATGTCCAGAAGGCTCTTGGTCTCTTCCAGGATCGAGGGAATGTCAGAAATGGAAGGTTTGGTTTTTGGAGTGGTCTTCAGCTTATTCCATTGTAGTGGTGATTGGAACAGTAATAGGTGCACTACTGCTGGTGTTCTCATTTATCTTTTACATTCTACACAGAGAAAAACCCATCATAAAGGACATCTTAGTTATTTCTTGTTTGATGAAATTTGGCCTGATGGTGAGTTTTGGAGGTGTAATACTTTTCTTAGGCAGCCCAAATATCCATCTTTGCAGAGCACAACAGATCATGTATGGTCTTGGGTTCACTCTCTGTGTGTCCTGCATTCTGGTTAAGGCCCTTCACATATTCTTAGAGTTAATGTCCTCTAATCCTGCAAAGCAGCGCAAACTAAGAAAGTTTGATAAGCCCTTTGTCATCATAGGAATCTTCACTGCTATTCAAGCTCTCATCTGTATCTTCTGGATGATCTTTGATCCTGTTGATGTTGAGGAGAAACAATCAAAAACTCAGTTACTTACTCTGAACCGTCTGTGCACTCAGGGCTCTATGTATGGCTTTGGTGTGATGCATGTCTACATTGCTTTACTAGCTGTGGTGTGTTTTGGACTGGCCTTCAAGGGGAGAGATAACGAGACTGATCCTATAATCTTCAGTATGCTCATCCATCTGTTTGCCTGGCTTTGCTTTATTCCAATCTTTATCACTCAATATGAATCACGCCCCATCGTCCAGATCTCTGGCATTATGGTCTCCAACTATGGAGTCATCTTCTGCCACTTTGCTCCAAAATGGTTTAAGACCCTCTCAGAAAAGGCTGAAACATTGAAGGCAGTAAAACCACCAGTTGATTCTCTCACAAATGACTCAGACTCTGGAGTGATTTCTAACTTCACATTTGGCTCAAGAGAGTCAATACACAGCATTCCACTGAGTCGATTCAGCATTGCAGAGTCAGAACAATCCAACTGGGATATTGACAGCCTGCGTCTGTCAGAAGCCAGTATAGCCTCATTTAGGCGTCGGAGACGAAGTTGGAGATCAAGAAGTCTGAGACCAAGAAGTCTGAGACCAAGAAGCTGGACACTAAGGAGTTTATAAGCCTGTTCAATTGGTTAACTCATCTGTAAAATCTGTAATAAAATTCTTACACATCTTACCAGTTATAAACAGCAGGACAAGCACGTTTCTAGTGGGTGGTATTTTCTACAAACCCAGATGTTTGCATCACACATGGTCATATCAAAACTAAAAGTTGTTGATATAGCACGTACGAAAATATAAAGTTATACCTGTAGCTGCCATTTAATCACCTCTTTCTTTCTCCCCCTGCTGATGTTCTACCAATGTATAAAAGATAGAGAGACCTAAACCAAGACTAATGGTTGAATGACTTTTTTAAATCATCTGTCATTTTGCTAGTTAAAAAGTGTTTAATATGGATACACACACTAGGAAACTAAGGCGAGTAGCAGTGGACAAAAACCTTTTTTTTTCTTCAATTTGTGGAGACATCTACATCTACTGCATGGACAGAATTTAAATTATTTAGCCATTATTGAAATACAGTAGGTAATTTGGCCTGTGATTTTCTTAGGGAGGAAGGTAGGAAAACACTGGTCCAGATGTTCCAGGGTGTGTTATAAAACAGTGTTGAGAGAATATCATAAAGAGATAATACCACTGTGTTGTTTGTCTTCTTTTTAATCTTAGTTAAATCCTCCTTAATTTAAAAAAAACTTTCAGATGTCTGTTTAATGTGTGCTCGATAGAGTTTGTCGCAGCCAGACATTTCTAAGGCACATATATTTTTTTAAAAATCTGTGTTAAAAACATATTCTTTATTGTTCTGTGAGTTCTGTATGTACAGTTGTGTATTTTTTATATTTTACAAATAATAGAAATATGTTTGGCCAAATGGTCACACTCACTTGACATAAACTGCAAACATCATTCTGGTGTATTGTAATAATGGCTAGAGATTGGTGAGCCAGCATCCCCCAGTAAACCCCAAGACTGACAGGGTACTCCTGGTTGTGCCCTTGGGAAAGGCAGCTAACCCCCCTCCTACTGGCAGTGTTGAGCATACTTATGCAGAAAATGACAAATTTCCGTTCTAGGATCACTATCAAACTTCTTAGTGCCATAAACCTGTCTGGTGCTTTCTTTTGGAGAAAGAGGGCTACATTTTCTTTTTGATATCATTTATCTAGAATTGTTTTTAATCAGACAAAACCAGCTACTCTGTGTATATGGAGAGTCACTGATTGTCAAATCCTGTGTTGTTGTTCTTTCAGTGTTATTATTTATTAAAGAATGATTATGTATAAGTTGATTACATGTTTTATGTTTGTCTTTTATTTTTTTGTTTAATCTAATCCTGTGTGTTGGGACAAGAATGTGTGAAACTAAACATGCATGGTAATGTATGAAGTTAAATGAGTATCACCAGCACCTGAACCTGAATTCATGATGCTGAACCTGAATTTGTCATGCTGAACTTGAATCCATCATGCTTTAAAAAAAAAATAAATAAAAGCGTGTGAAATTTGGCATAATTGAAAATTGTCACTGTGAAATCTTAGATATTTGAAAATCAGGTCGCAGAAATTTCATTTTTTTTTAAAAAAAAATCAGGTAACTAAAATTTCAGTTAATAATTCTGGTGATAAAAATTCAGGTCGTAAAAAAATTCAGGTCTGGAAATTCAGGGAAAGCATCTGGGGAAAAAGCAAATAAGCCTGGATCTAACGGAACTCAATCTGGCCAATCACAAGGCAGCCCACAGGTCAGTGGGTGGGGTTTAATGGCAGCACTGTTGAAGCAGAGGCAGCTCATGGCAGAGAAACCCTGTGGAGCTTTCACAGCTGTAAGTAGCTTGTTTTTCTTTCTTCTGAAACAAAATAAAATAAGACAACAGTTTTGTTTGTTTAGCTAGCGGCCTGTGCAAGAGAAAAGTCATTGCTAGCTGGCTACAATTCAGCCGCTGTATGAACATTTCTGTAATGTTGTTATAATTCATGTTCCGAAGATTTCATAAATGAGCCCTATTAACCACTTGCATGTCCTTTTTATGTTGTAGGTGAGGGCTTTGACAGTGCTAGGGCCAGTTCTACTCACATTAATGCGGTTGCCCACAGAGAAACAACCCCTTTCACTGTAGGATAAAAGTTAAGGATGTCAGTTCAGAGGAGGGGAGAACACCACAGAGCTTTTTTTTTTATGTTTTTATGTATTCAGAGAGAGGACAAAAGCATTAAATCCCAAGTTCCAGGCCCCATCCAGAGATATGCTGTCAAACACACTAATACCTGCCTAGTATGCAGTAGAAAAAGAAAATCCTAATAATAATAATTATTCCTTTTTTTGTATTTTTTTGTCTCAATTAGACAAAAGCTATAGAAAAAAGTATAGTTTTGGTATCAATATCGAATTGAAAGTATCGTATCGGTATCAAACATTTTCAAACGATACCCAGCCCTAGTCTCATCTTGCTAGAGCTGTGCTCTAACAAGTGAACATTCCAGCATCAATCCTTATCCACTAATCCCATTTTTTCTGGAGCTTGTATTACATAACAAAATCTCTGTGTCATTATAACATAAAAATATATACTTTTAAATATGGGGTTCAGGTTTGGGTCAGCCTTAAATGGGACCAGTTATGCTGTTAAACAGTCTTGATCAGAGTCTAGATCCTCTAAAATATTCAAACCAAAAAATATAACCTTTTGTGATTTAGATTTAGGTGTATTAAGTTAGTTTATTCCATAACATACAATGATGTATACCTGTATCTCTCAGAGTTATACCCAAACATCTCCAAACATAAACTATGCTTTCTTAATTCTCTCTGTGTCAGTCAATAAGTTGATTTGTGCTGTTGATTATGCAGCTATGATAAATGGTAGGCTCTTATCAATTACATGAACTACAGCAAAACACATTTATGTACATTATGTGGACTGAAAACATCCACGTGTGTATAAAACACTTCACACCTGAAGACACCAAGAACAGGATCAAACCCAGACCAGAACACATTCTTTCTGAGGACAATAAGAAAACTGGAGCTGAGGTAGCTGATCTGTTATTACATGCTGTATCTGACAGGAAATGTGCATGACATCGTCACAAAATGTTTGTCTTAGCTCAACACAGCTACCTGAGATATACTGAAATAAATTTATTTTGTATTCTGAAGTTCACTGCATAGACTCCAGTGTGTGTTCAGAAAATGTAATGCATAGACCTTTTAATTATACTTAGTAGTATACAGTACTGTATTAAATTTGATTTATAACCCTTCCAAAGTGACTAACTCTATGGTACATGGATAACCATGACAGGCACAATGGTATTTGCAAACAGTAGTGCTACTACACATGTAACAAAAAGTAGGCATTTTTAAGTACTACTTAATTTAACATTAAAAAAAACGTTTTAGTTGAAGATCATTTTGACCTCTGTGCCCCACTTAACCATGAAATGCCCCAAAACCCCAGAACATTTTTTGGTTGCTAGGTAATAAGGATAAATAAGGATACAATGAAGGTCAGTTCTGTGATGTTTAATGCATGGGAATCAATAATTATGGCAAAAAATACTGTATTTGACTTTGGGTTTTGAGTATTTTTGCATTGTAAGGCTCAAGTCTAAGTCTGAGTTACTGGTGTTCAAGTCAGTCTGGCCACAAGCATATTTTTTTATTATTTCTTTGTTGAGTCATCACATTCATAACTCGGCCATCATGACATGTGACTTGGGTCTACACCTCTGTTGTTCACTAAATTAACCAATACAATAGCATAGTAACATAGTAAAAGTCGGAATTGTGTACAAAGGTCTTGATTATTACATACTTAGTGAGATTATGGAGTAGAAAAATAACAAAAGTGAAAATGTTTTGTATTTAGGTGTAACTAATTCACCTCTTACCTTCAGTATGAACACATTAATACAGTTTCTAGCTTTCTTTGAGTGGTGGTCATAGGAAGCAGGGGTCGCCATGACTACAACACGAATATAGCCATTTTATTTACTATCCAGAACCACCAGTGAACCTACACGTGTCTTCTTAGTTTATATATGCAATGTTGATGATGGTAACATAGTTGTAAATATGAAGAAAAAAAAAAAATTTGAGGGGGACTATTTTGCCTCGCTGCATGTATCCTTCCAACATGAATGGATTTTTAGCCAAAAGCTTCTCAAAACTATAGTGAAACAATGTCTCAGACATCAGGGAGTGTATTCATAACCGTTTAATGTAATAACTTCCAGTGAGGGAACTTTTAGAGTTATGACACTCCTCATATGTCTGATTCCTCAGCACAGGAATGCTTATACTGGCATGTGGTTGGTGTTCTTCTTGATTTCGAGTCCTATCGCCCATTTCTACTGCTAGCTAATAGTTCATTACACAGCTGACCTACATTATCTGTAAAACAGCCTGCTAACAAGCTAGTGAGGTCACCAATGTATTCTAATCTACAAGAATTGTTCCTCTAATTAATAGTGGAGCTTTGTAATTACTGATCTCATACTTTCTTGTAGATATTTTTGTATGTATAAAATGTAATATTCTGTATTTTATTTTTATGCATTTTAATGCATTTTTACCCATTCTAGGTCTCATCAGGTTCTGGTAGCAGTATGACAGTAAGTAAACATGGAACTCCCCTTTCAGGGGTTTCAATTTGACTCTTTCAGGTTTGACAGGTTTTGACTAATGGATTAGTGAATGAACAGCATAGCCATCTCTTCTCTTTTGTGCACAAAAATGCTTCGGGGAAACCCTCAAGCAGCCCAGCGTGATGGAGAGCTTATGTTTCTTGTAAACATATTTTAAGTCACGTTTTATCATCTCCTCACACTCCAGAGTGTTTAGCTCAGCCTTTACGTCACTGCAAGTCACAAACCAGTCAGAAATAAAAGGGACACCAGCAGTGTCCATGTCGGCATTCACAACATGAGGGCTGGTCAGGGTGTTTCCAAGCTGGGGCTGATGGTGATGTTGGGGTTGTGGGGTTGTATTAACTGTGACATTAAGCCATCACCCATTGGGGCTTATGCACACGGTGACATTGTCATTGGAATCTTGGGTTCAGTTCACTCAAAGGTGAACGACCTTCAGGGACGAATTCGCCCAGAGATGTTTACCTGCACAGAGTGAGTATATGAGGGAGTTCAGATTCTGTGAGACAACTTTTAAACAGTTTAAAAACTAAACTGTTTAAACAGTTTGGAGATAATGCAACCCAGATAACTTACTGTTCACTGGGATTGCTACAATCTGTGATCTGAACTGAAATTATCTGCATCCTATTTTGTTGTTGTTAACATCTTATATTTACAGTCGTACGCTAATGTTTGGTCAAATTCCATGTTGTGTTGATTTTCTAAGTTTGCTGAATATATAATATTGAAAAAATTAGTAAAAGATAAAATTTGGCCTGCGCAAAATGTTGCTACTTTTGGTTTACTACCAGTAAAATGCCATATTTTAGTTTGCTCCCTGTAGAGAATGTCAACAAAACAAGTAACTTCAGCAGGGGCACCCAAACTTTCACATTTAACTATATTAATATATTAAAATGTTTTATTACTGTATATAGTACTTTATATATGTTAATCATTTTCTGTTGGGTCCCCAACAGTTTTATTTGTGTAAAGGTAAAGGGATTCAGGTACAAACATCATGTCTGCTTTAAGAATTATTACCAAAATATTGAATTGATTACAAAGAATGAATGTCGAAAGGCATCCACTGTAATATTAAGCAAATGTTAGAGTAGGACTGTTCAGCTACATCTGAGGAATGTTATCATGCATTTCTTTGGTGTATGTATGTATATTTGAAAGTTCATTCTAAGTATTATTTGTGAAAGGGAGAATTCAGAAGACACAGGCCAGAGTGCAAATCTCAGCTTGGGTTTTTAAATTAAGCCCCTACAGCTATTGCAAATTTTAAAACATCATTCAGTGCTTAACTAATTCTCATCTTTCTTCTCCAGCTTTGATCTCATTCCATTTGTACAGTCTTTAGCTGCAATTCACACCATCGAAATGATCAATGATTCTGGATTTCTTCCGGGAATCCGGCTTGGATATGCGATGTGTGATCCTTGTGTACACGCTACCCAAGCCTTGCACTGTGTGGAGCACATGCTTTCTGTTAATGGGACACTTCCAGTCCTCTCTGACTACTCAGACTTCAGGTCACCTGTGAAGGTGTTTTTGGGAGAAAGATATTCTGAATTGTCTATTCCTATGGCCAGACTGCTCAGCATCTACATGATTCCACAGGTAGGTCATCTTGAGGGGGAAGGTGGGATTATAAGTTAATGAATGACTTGACTGTCATTTACATTTTAAGATACTGAATCCTTAAATCAGATCATGTTGACAAGTAGTACTACCTTCCATTATCATTACCATGTAGAATGTATTCAAATGCAGGGAAATTGTACAAAAACGTTGCACCTTTCTCGCAACAGATAAGTTGCACATCATCTGCACCAGCACTGAGTGACAAGTTGCGCTGTCCGTCCTTCTTTCGCGTCATTCCAAGTGACGTCTACCAGACAAAAGCGCTGGCAAAGCTCATGGCACGTTTTTCCTGGGACTGGGTCGGAGTGGTGTCCTTAGATGATGACTATGGCAAAGCTGCTCTCGAGAACTTTCTGCTGGATGCAGAGAAAGAACATGTATGTGCAGCTTTCCAGGAAGTGGTACCACACTACTTAGACAACAAGTACACCAAGCAGCGCATCAAGGAGGTGGCTGATCATATCCGAAGCTCCACTGCCAAAGTTGTGCTGCTCATCCTGAGACCAGAACATGTGGAGATGCTGTTTGAAGAGATGATTAAGACAAATACTTCTTTGACTTGGATCGCCAGCGATGCCTGGTCCGCAACACGCAACTTAATGAAAATAAAGAACATAAACAAGGTGGGAGACATCTTTGGCTTTACCTTTGTCACGGGGAAGATCCCAGGTTTTGAAGACTACCTCCAGAATCTGAGACCAGGTCGAGGGGCAAGAAATGATTTTATTGACGAGTACAAGCAAATGAGGTTCAACTGCAGCCCTGGTCAGCAATCAGAGCACACGTCCCCTGTGGCCTGCAGTGTGACAGACCCCCTGGAGGCGAACGATGACTACCTGCTCCATGCTGTGGACGTGACAGAAGCCTACAGTCAGAGAGTAGCAGTGTATGCTGTGGCTCATGCCATCAAGAAACTTCTTCAATGTAATGACACTGCCTGCTCTGGAGATACCAACTTAAGGCCATGGAAGGTAAGATAATTTTGGTTTTCCTTGTAAACACTTGCTTTTACCACTGCTTTTGTAAAACTAACTAAATAAATAAATAATTATAGGCCCAGACAAACAACAGAAATATCTTTGTATCTTCACACCTGCAGCTTGTCGAGATCCTTCATGAGTTGAACTTTACCTTGGACAGCCAGACATTTTTCTTCAATCAATTTGGCGATTTTGAGAATGGTTATGATTTCATAATGTGGAAGAAGGAAGGTGATGAAAGAGTGCCTGAAGTGGTGGGAAAATTTCTCATAAAGAATGGAGACGTGGAGATCTATGACCAGAAAATCTTATGGACCAACAGTTCGGTAAAATAAAATTACAGATTATGAGCCAAGGACAGTGGTCCACATGATATTTTACCAACAGGCATAGTCTCAACCAGTTTATTAGTGTCATGCAAAGGCATTCACAAGTGGCTTCATGTGAGTCAGAGATGAGTCTAAAGTCTTGAGTCTTTAGATTAGAATTTTAATGTAGTTTTGTTATTAGCTGCTTGCATTGCATTATACAAAACTAAGCCCTACTTAACACCTCTTGAATTCAACTCTGCTGTAAATAACGAGCCTTTCATTACAGAAAATCCTTCAGTCTGATGGACACAAAGTGCTACATGCATTAAATGTGGTGTTTAAAGGAAAGGGACAAACATCTTGAAATGGTTAGTTAGCCTGTAGCTAGCATAGGAATTATGCTAGCTAACACAATAGATATTCAGATAGATTACCTGACCGCTTCAGCTAAATTAAGCTAGCTAGCATATTTGCTGTCAAAACTGTGCTATTTTAACTTGCTTTAAATACTGCACTTAATGCATGTAGCTCTTCTTTGTATCCTTCAGACTGAAGGCTTTTCTGTAATAAAGGGCTTGCTGTTTCAAGCTATATCAAACTGATTTATTAATATCTAAAATGCAATTTAATTTAAATATTTTGACCAGATCTCATGGATACAGAATGTCACAAGCGCTAAAAATTTGTGAATTGCCTTATTATTTTATTTTAGCATCAGCCTCATTTCAACCAGTTAAAACTATTCTTTATCTTTCAGGTGCCTTTTTCGAGGTGTTCGCCGTCTTGCCCTCCTGGCAGTGTGAAGAACATATCAAATGTTGCCTGTTGCTACACTTGTACTATTTGTAATGAGGGAACCTACACTGACAAATGGGGTAAGCAATAACTCATGTACTGTTTATATCCTTTGTACCATCTAACCTCTGCATTTTCTGTCTCTCACACAGATCAACCCACCTGCCAAAAATGTCCTAACAACACCTGGTCTGAGAAGAACTCGACAGAGTGCAAGCAAAGAACTGTGCTCTTTCTAAAGTGGAATGACCCTTATCCCATTGCACTGATGGTGGGAGCAGCAATAGGCGTGTTGTTGCTGCTAATCTCGTTAATATTATATGTGTGGCACAAACGCACACCTGTCATTAAGAAGTCTGGCTTTGAAATGTCTTGTTTAATGAAGCTAGGACTGCTTATTAGTTTTGGAAGCATTATTGCCTTTATTGGCAGGCCAAACATCCATCTCTGCAGGGCCCAACAGATCATGTATGGTCTTGGTTTTACCCTTTGTGTGTGCTGCATTCTAATTAAGTCCTTCTGCACCTTTTTGGCATTTCTGGCCTTTGACATAGACAAGCAGCACAAGCTTAGAAAGCTTTACAAGCCTACTCTCATCATTATCCTTGTCAATGCTGGCCAAGGGCTTATTTGTGCATTCTGGTTGATATTTGCATCCCCAGACATCGACCTACCATCAACCCAAAGCATGTTCATCAACCTCATGTGTGCCGAGGGATCTATAATTGGCTTTGCTGTGATGCATGCCTATATCGCCGTTCTAGCCTTCGTATGTTTCTTGCTTGCCTTCAAAAGCCGAAAAGTTCCCCAAGATTTTAATGAGACAGGTATAATCATCTTTAGCATGCTGATCCATCTGTTTGTCTGGCTTTGCTTTATTCCAATCTACATCACCAAAAATGAACAGCGGCCGATTGTTCAGGCTTCTGCCATCTTGGTCTCCAACTATGGCATTATTTTTTGTCACTTCATCCCAAAATGCTACCAGGTCCTCTGGGAAAAGACAGAGAACTCACTGTCTGCGATCAGGCAGCGGTTATTTGCAGCTGTTAAAGCAAGTGTACCCAGCTAAAAAAACAGAAGCCTACTGTGACAACTGGTTTCCTCTTTACCAAACAGTTTAATAGAAACAATCAGGTCTATTTTTTTGTTTAAAGAACGACACAGGGTTAATCATCTTTAGCTTGCTCACCCACCTCTTTGTCTGGCTTTGTGTTTTTCCCATCTACCTCACCAAAAATGAACTTTTAATAATCCATATGCATGAGCATGAAGCCTAATGTGTTCTATTGTAATTTTTTGTAAAATATTGTAAAATATTTAAATATTATATATGTTGGTTTTTGGAAAATCCTTCTGGGATAAATGTATTTCCTTCAGTTCCATTAGAATTTGAATATGTGGAATAAAAATGAACAGATAAACCTTGTTGGTGTGTTTAATGCCTGTAACATCAGTAATCCCACATTCACAGTCTCCTCAGGTCACCTATCTTAAGACGCACTGGCAGTAGGTTAGACAGACCTGTGGCATGCATCCAGAGAAGATTTCAGAGGAGGACAACAACTTAATAAACAAGCTGAAGTCACACTAAGCACACTGTGTCTGTGGAAACAGACAGCAGTCAATATAATAATGTAATATTAAACACTAACATACATTTGAAATCTAAAACGAGTAACAAGTTTTAAACCCTCTAAAATTTGTGTTAAGAAACTGCAGATGAGGTAAAGTAAATAATTAGGGGGCTATTTATAGAAAGACTTTTGCTTGGGTTATGTTTTTATAAACATCAATATTTTCAGCCGATGTGCTATTGTGACATAGACTTCACAACATCTTTATCTATATACTTATCACTTACTGGAGTTTTAAATTAACTACATTTGGGAGTATTTACAAACTAAACTGCAATACATTTTAATCTCTCTCTATGACAAAGTTTGTGCACCCCATTAACTCCCCATCTCCTTCCTGTTCCTCAGTCCTATCTCTAGCCTACTTCAAGCTTTATGTGGAACTTAAATTTTCTGCATAGTTCAGTGGCTGACATGTATACAGAGTCATTCTGAGTGGTTTGTTGTAAAATGGTTGATTGTAAGACTCAGATTTCTTACAGTGGTGGTGATAGAAACCTGGGGTCACCATATCTACAACACAAATACAACCATTTTATTTACCATCCAAAACCACCAGTGGACCTACATGTGTCTTCTGAGATTTTATATGGAATGTTGATGATGGTAAAATAGTGGAAAATCTGAAAAAATAAGTTTTTTAAGTTTTGCTTTACAGCACTCTACATGAAGCCCTCTACCAGGAATAGGTTTTAAAAAAAAATTTCTAGGACAAAACCTTCTCTAAACTATCTTACAGTGTGTCAGACATCAGACAGTGTATTCATAACTATTTCATATATAATAGCTTTCTGTGGAGCAGGTTTTATAGACATTAAACTCCTCTTATCGTGTTCCTATCACTAGAGCAGAGCATTTCACATCAAACCACTCTAAATGACATTTCTCGGAGTTCAGCATGCTGAGCATCTCTCCTGGACACTCAACATGTAACAACTTGTTAAAAAGGCCCAACAATGCCTTTATTTCCTCAGGAAGCTGAGGAGAGTCAACCTTTAAATTAAAGGACTATGCAGAAATTATGAAAAATCTCTGGAATTCCCCTTTGTAGCAGAGGCCACCCTGAACTCCAGTCCAAGTTGCCTCCCCTACAACAGTCACACAGTTTTTTGCCTGAAAGAAAAGGCACAAGCACTATTTAAATATTTATTTATTTATTTATTTACTTAATAAAAACTGCATTGAAGAAATCCCTATTTTGGCATTAAACTTGGATTTGCTTGTAGACAGAGGGATTTCATATTTTGTTCCATAATGCTCTTCAGCACTTTAAGCAATACGATTTTTTTATTGTGCCAGTTTGACACATCTGGACATTTTACATACTTATTTTAAGTGCATTGTACTGGCAGACAAAATATTGTCTGAAAATATATAATATATAGTGGGTTTCTGATCATCATCACTCTACAGACGTCTGCAGGTGTGCCACCACATTGTCTTTGTACACTTCTGAGTTCATGATCCCATCAATGAACAAAAGCTCAGCAACAGCACAATAAGAAAAACGCTCGCAAATTTGTTTCCACGTCTGTGCTTTACAGAACCCGTATTGCTGTTCCTCTACAAGAGTTCTCTACACCATCAGTTTCATTCTAAGTTAAAAGTGTTTTTCTCTAAAAGAAATACCATTTTCTTAACGATTTTAAGTAACCTAAAGAACTTCATTAAAGTTTAGCTATGGTTAAAGTGTCCACATACTTATGTATGGTAATATGACAATTCTTACTGCAACAATTCCACATGTTTACTGGTACAGTGAATAAATAATATTCTTAGAAAACAATAATCTTTGTTCACTGCCATAGAGTAAAGACAGCTACTATACAGTAATTAAGTGTTGATTACAATTTAGAAAAAAAGGCAACCCACAGGCCACCTTGTTGCCTTGATAAGCTTACAGTCTTACGTGTGTGCTTTATTCTTTTAACATGACCATCTGTGCATGCTAAGAGCGGGGATCTCCAATCCTGCTTTATCCTCTCAGCCACTCGGCTATTTGAAGAAGGCACAGTACAACTGAGTGCAGAGAATGCACTGCCTCTGTATACTGGTGAATCTCAATGGAAAACAACTCAATGAAGAACACCCAGACTGAGACGGCAACATACAGCATGAGGGGATCTTGACAGAACGGAGAGAATTTCAAGAGCAGCTGCTTCTTTGCCCAGAAGTGGCATGAGGATGACCGTACCAAAAGGCAGGATGGAAAACACAGGCTACCTTTCTTAACAAGCTGCTACTTTTGTATCCACACCTTTGCCTACTGTAATTGCTCCATCGTCAACATAAAGATCCGATTCTCTCTATCAGAATGGGTTGCTCACCTTCCAAAGGTCAGCTTTTTGCTGGAGTGTCCGCCCACAAAGCTCTGCAGCATGAATCACAGAAAAGTAACAACAATAACCTCTCTGATGGAACAGAAATTCAGAGCAAAACAGAGACAGACATAGTTTCAGCTGGACTAACAATATTAGAGGATGAACCACCCTCAGGTAAAGAATCTTCTCTTTGTGATGTAGTGTGCGAAACAACAACGGTTGTAAGGGAAGAAGTTGTTGAAGAAGCAAATGTGGATTCACAAGAGGAACTACTGGCTCAAGAGAAGGCAGGCAAAAAGGGCGAAAGGAAAAAGAAAATTAAAGGATCCAAAAGGAGCAAGCACAAGGAGAGGGTGAGCAAAACTATACAAATTCAGTCAAAAGTAGATCTCCCAGAAAAAATGGTGAAAGCCCACCAAGCCGCCTATGCTTATCTGAACCCCAACATTTCTAAATATGAGTCCCTTTTAGGGCTCTTGGACCAAGCAACACAGACTCATCTCTCTTTACAACCTATGGTGGCCTTGCTAGCATTGCGCTATGAGGAGATAAACCAGGCCTTGGAGGAAATTGCTGTGGAAGGGGAGCAGATGTTGGAAGAGCATGGAAAAGATATGGCCTGGCCAGCTGCACATAGGGAGGTTCTGTTTAACCCAGCCAAACCAGATGCTGAACTGTACTCACCGGAACCTCCTCCAGACTTGCTACAGCAGATGCTCCAACACTCCACTGAGAAAATGAAACTTGTAGAGGACTCGGTTAAAAGGCTGGGGGACGCTGCCTTGGAAGAAGCGGTAGACTACTTTGCCTCACTCTCTCGACTGCTGGAAGAGAAGCTGGTGGTAAAGAGAGCAGCAGAGGGACGTTTGAAACAGGTACTGGATCATGTGGAGGCTGCCACCCTGAGGAAGTCTAGTCTGGAAGACTCTGCCTTGCACAGTGAGGACAGTGGCATTGGTGCAGACAACGAATGTCAGAATGGTTCTGTGCGACTTCGACGCCACCGGGAGAGCTCTGGGTCAGGAGCCAGCTCTGGTTCATCATATGGCTACCCTGAGAACACTTTACCTTCTCAGCCTCACCTTAATGGAGTTGAAGAGGATAGGAGTGATGATGACGACGACAATGATGATAGTGAAGAAGACTCTAGTGAGGATGAAGAGGAGGCAAAAGAGGAGCAGGGAAGAAAAACAGCTATCACGGAAAGAAAGATGTCTAATTTCTCCAGCAATGCACCCCAAAGAGGGAGGCCAACAAATACTACCTTGGCATGGACTAAACAGAGAGATACAAACACCAAACGACCCAAAACTGCAGAAAGTCGCTCAGTCCCAAGTCAAGAGAACCCCAGGCATTCCCGTTTAAGGGGCCTGCGTCGGGCACAATCTGCTGATTACTTGTATTGCATGATAGATGACTATACAGTGAAGAAGCAGGAGAAATGCCAGAAACCTGTATACACTGGAACAGGTCTGACTGGAGGTGTGGTCCATGGTTGTCTTGTCAGGACAAGGTTGAGGAGGCTTTCGTCAGAAGACCAGAATATGGCAAGATGCTACGGCCTCCAGTATGGAAGCAAGGGACCATTTAAGGCTACTCTGCCACCTAGCTCACCTTCTGCAATCGTGCCTGCCCCTCCTGGCAGAAACGCAGTCAAACGACTCATAAATACCTTTAGCCAAGGTGTGCAGGACAAATCTATTCAAAAGACCCCTAATGGGCCCATGAAAGTAACAGGAAACAAAAGAGGTTTTCTGCCGATGTTAGCCAACAGCATGGATGGCGATTCCGCCAATGGCAACAACAATAACAACATTTTTTCAGTTGACCAGAGGATCTCAGAGAGACCTGATGATGTGGATGTGGACAGCCTTCCTCCGCCTCCCCTTGAAGTACTGATGGACAACTCTTTTGAGAGCAGTGAAGGACCCCCTGGCGATGAAGAGGGCACGGAAACCCTAAATCAGGGTTGTTCCAGACAGAGACAGAGATGCGGTGTCTCTCAACGGCTACGAGCTTCGCTGCAGATGGGTACTGTGCTCCCCAGCAGAGCCAGTGTTCCAAGACGCTCTCAGAGTATCTCACCTGCCCGTCCTATCAGGCAGGACGCTGTGGTTGGAAGCCGGCAAGGCCGAGATGGTGACCAGCAAATTGGAGTCAATACAGAGAAAAAAGAGGTAGTCAGCCTTTACCAGCAGCCTCGAAAGATCATTCATCTGCGACACTCATCTGGTTCTCCAGCCAAAGCAGGCCCAGGTGGCCCAGACATCACCCGAGCAGAATCAGTGGCGAGACAGGGAAGCAAGGACTCAGGGGAAAATGAAACCTTGATGCCTTACCCAAACAGCTACCCACCAACAACTCCGCCAGTCTCCAGAGCCCGACTTCCACCCTCGTGTCCCTCTGTACGCCACAGAATCCCAAGTCCTCCTGCTCTACCTACCTCCCCAGCTTGTGGTCAGTGGGGAGCCACACCATACAGTCCCAATGTCCAAAGATGGACCAGGAGAAGCAGTGATGAAGAAAATGGCACTAGTTCACTTTCATTTTATGATGCTCGCTCTGTGTTCTGTCAGGAGACCCAGTCAGCCACCCAGTCACTGTCAACTTCCTGTATGTCCACTCTACCAAGACCATGGGGAGAACCATCCAGGGGAAGGCTGCAGTCTAGTCGACTACCCCAAACCTTCATGAAAAGCAGCGCTTCAGGTGTCAAGCCCACCCTTATTGACCAGCAACAGCCATTCCCCAGTGCCACACAACCCCACAGCCAGATCAATGAGAGGTAAATGTTTCCCATAAGATTCATTCAGTGAATGAACTGGTTTCGTGTGACAGGGGATTGTGTTTCAAGGGAAATACATAAGTAATTCTATATCTACATTATTATAGTGTCTCAGCAAACAAGGTTCTATGTTGTATCAAAAAGATTCTTTGGTTTATAACAGTACTTTGAAGACCCATATAAAACAGGTTTTCCATCATAGAGAAGTACTTTTAAAGTATTCAGATGGTTCTTTAAAATGTTCATGGTTCTTATGTAACCAGTGCTTTTGCTAGAGAACTCTTAAAAACACACTTTTTATTACAGTGCTTTACAATATTATTGAAATTAACTTAAATAGTTACAGTTGTAAAAAACATTACATTCCTTACATTTTCATTTAGATCTTTTTAGAAGCACTCTTTACAAATCTCAAAGGCCAGGAGATTAATCTGTTTCTTTTGTCAATTATTTGAGCTCCAATGCATCTGAATATGTTGTTTTTAAACAACAAACCAAAAACTTTTCGGTGTAAAAACTTCCAACCAAATTAAACTGCCCACAACTATTAACATTGGTCTTTTAAAGACCATTAGTGCTGACTGGTCACCACACACCACCAAAGAAAGAAAACTTTTCACTTTATCTGCTAAAGCTTTTTACTTTTATGTACTTCAGTATGTGTAAAATTTGATATGTATTTATCTTCTCTTGAGTTTATTTTTATATAATTGTCTTTTAATTGAGTAAGATTTTGTCACTGTAGGCCTGTAATTTCTCTGTGCTGGGGATGCTCACCCTGCTGTCTCTTCTCTCTACTACTGGATGAACATCTTGCTAATAAGCTGGGCATTGACCAGATTATTGATGAGGCAAGAAATCGGTGGTGCTGCCCATAGTCACACATGCATATCTAGTAAGAGATAATTACAATGGTTGAAAAAACAGGAGAGCCTCACAGATAGCACAAAGAATACGGCATGGGGGAAAAACAAACTACACCCGAATAAATACAACTGAACCATCTGCTGCCACACAGATTGCAGCTGTCCGTCAGCTGTCTCTCAGTCTGTCTCAACTGGATCAGTCTATCAGGTCATTGAAAAGGTCATATGAGCGGAGATCATCAAACAAACAACAACAAACACAGACATCTTCTCCCCTTAATTCACTCTGGTTCATTTGGTTTAGTTGTGTTTTTTCCCAAAACATAAGAGCTGCAAACATTCTTTCTAAACAAAACCATTCATTGCCAAGGAAAGAATCTATTAATATTAGTGCATATAACTTTGCAAACTCCATCTAATGTCATTTTTAAATAAGGAAATTACAGGCAGGTAGCAATGCTTCAAAATAACCAGAACAAGCAGGGAAATCCCGTTAATGAGAAACCAAGACAGTGAAAGATCAATATAATTTTATGCATATCTAAAATCATACCAGTATATTATTATTTTTTAGAATAATGTTATAATTAATTTACAATTCAGTTACAATCATTCATTTAAGATTATTTGTTGAATGTCATAGTAAACAAGTTTATTTACTATGACATAGTAAACAACTGTTCCAGTCAATCAGGCTCCACCACCATATCTTTTAACCTGTCAATAATTAATTACCTTCTACTGCACTGTTCAAAAGTTGGGAATCAGTTTGGTTTTCATTCTTTTTAAACCATTTTTACAATTTTGTGTAGAATTATCCTATATGGTGCTAATATTCTATAGGTTTCAAACAATTTGTAGACATTTGTAAAAACTGAGAAATTCTCAATGATAAATGAAGCTGTAGAAGGTTCTATTACAACTGAGAAGGCTGGAGAATATTGAGAATAAATTTTAATGAAAATAAATATCCAACTTAACGACAACTATAAATAAGTAACTACAGTTTATAATTTAATAAAATGTACTATTTTCTAGCCATGTCATAATTTGGCATTTAAAAGCTTTAAATTGTGAAAAAAAATGGTTTCTGTCTGGTGTCTGGTTTATAACAATGCAGTCTACACTGTGTTTGTGATTTGTGATCATTGATATGAAAGTGATTCCAAGATTTTAAATAGTAATGTATGTTTGCTATAAGTCTACTACAGTTGTTAAAAACAGGTCGGAATCTATTATGGCATTCAGATCATGTTAGCTATTTTCACGTTTTGAGGATGTTTGTGGCTTTCACCCCGGGGAAAACAGTAAATTATGTTCTACAAAAAGAGAGATCAGAAAGTGTCAGAAATGACACATTCACTGTCATAACAAATGGTTTTAGCTGAAATGTCCACCTTCTGAACAGCACATTTCTGCATTGATTGGCAGCCCAACCTGTTTGCCTTGATTCTCCTTCTCAGAAAATACCCTGAGCTGAGAAATGAGCTGCAGGGTCCGTGACAGGGGCTTTACTGAGCCGTGCAGAAACCTTGACTCCAACTGCAGATAAGAAATTGGTTTATGTGAAGTTGAGTGATTATCATACCTGTGTGCGTGCCATTGCAACTACCATGTCTAGCACTGCTTATAAGTATCACGCTAGCTTCAACCAGTGACCTAGAAAAAGCAGATGCAGAAAAACCTGCTAAATAGAAATAGCATGTGAAAGTGGGAAAATAGCAGCAAACATTTCTCCATAATGCTCTAAGAGATTTAAACACATCACTGTTCTCTTAGCATAAGGCTTGTTGACTTTTCCAGAATGGCTAATGAACAGCTTTGTGAACTGGTGAACCGAACACTTGGACGTGGAGCACTAGAGCAACAACACCCTCCCCCCACCCCAACTCCATGTAATCTCATCAGGAGCATTAACCTGGGAGGCTCAGTGTAATCCCACTAGATTAGAATCTCTTTTCTACCTGGTCATGGGTGAGTGATTGCTCGGATACCTGGCCCGCTGCCCTACATAATATTCTCCTGTATTCTCAAAATGGCAAAATAGCTGAGCTCCAAAGTGGCACGAGTGGTAGAAAGGGGTTGTGTCCTGTTGCTAGGCCCCAAGCTTTTGCTAGAACCAGAAACCTCAGCAACAGAAAACTGGAATAGTGTTTTTTTCCACTGGCCATCAGCCCAGTATTGAAGGTTCCAGTTTTATTGTTTTTGGTACCTGCTCAAGATCGGTACCAGCAAGACGTAACGATACTCTAGGATGTTATCCTGTGTCTTTGCTAACAGATGTAGCAGAAGCCATCTACTATTAAAGTGTACTCTCTACTCTTCCAGGTGAAGATAAATTCACCAAGCACTATCACTGACAGGTGCACCACAATATAAACTTGAATGGTATGTCAACATGTCGATCACTATTTTTAGAATTATTACTCTGTAAGAGTTCACCAAAGATGACATAATCTAGTTAGGTAACTAACACTAAAGCACTAACACTATTAGCATTTATGCTAGCCTTCACCAAAAGTGTTTTAGTGTTTTCATGTTTTCACACTCGACAGAGAAAAATGTGAGCTTTGTTTGATTCTACACATGATTCTGTGTAAGTGTGGACATTTCTGTGAATATGTGAGCACAGAGCAATGTGAACCAAGGTAAGATAGCTAGCAAGGGGTGTAACTACCAAAGTAAACACTTTAAAGTGGTACAAAATGACCAAAAAGACAATTACAGTTGTGTCTCAAGGAGATGAAACTAGAGCTGTAACACCCATTTCACACCAGATGCGACACAGAACACATTAAACCAAGAACCACTCCATGACGCTGGTTATTTCACACCGGACGCAACACACGCGCGTCATGAAGCAAGAGCGGTTGCTGTCTGTGTTGCATTTTTACATAATATAAATGTCTGTGTTGATCATTTATTACTTATTTATGTAGATGACATTGTTAATTAGCCACCGTAACTGTTGCTGGCTTTCTCACCAGGTGATGTAGCTCTATATGAAGAGGAGGAGATGCCTGTGTGTTCACAACATTAACCTACCTAAGAGATATTAATCAACCTGTCAAAGAGTTACGACTAGATTTGTTGATTCGTTTATTAACCTAGATTGGCTATTATAACATAGACATTGCATTTCTTTACTGTTTATGCATAGAAACACATGCCGTGCGTGGCACGCGTCAGAAATAGACTCAAAGCGTGTTTTTGCACGTGGCGCGCAGCTGGTGTGAAAGGCTACATCGGTTATTATAGGATCGCATTGTGCGCAGGCTTAGGTCCATCAATTACCATTTGGGTCAGTCCATGTTTTTGAATGTACAGTGGAAAAATGCCCTAGATGGGACGGGTGGCTTCAAATATAAATCATGGGCAGCTTCTGTAAGCAGAAATAGGGAGTAAATGCTTATGCTTCCCTCAAAATGCATTCATTTGTCATTGTGTGAGCAGCACTATTTGGTTTTCTTTCCACTCCAAGACTGATTGGTGCTTTGTAACAGGAGAGATTCAGACAGTCGGAGTGGGAATTTGTAGCAGGGGATCAAATAAGAGATTGAACTTCAGGTTTGGGAGGTTATCAACAGTGTGTGGTTGTTGTCGGTCCAACACCTGTATTCAAAATTTATAAATATCTACATTTTTCACTGTGCACTTGAAAGGGCAGTGACCAGCACAAGGACATTACTGAACAAAAAAATGGAAATGGAAAAAATATTATGATTACCTATACCTAATTATAGCTAAAAGAATGGAACTTTGGGGAAAATACATGGAAAAAAAATGAAACATTTTGGAAGAAAAAGCTGAGAGTGTACACACCCTTTCTTATTGTTCATTAACATTAAGTTCATTTTAATTCATCCATATTAGGGGCTATTTCATGAAATGAAAGCCTGAACCCGACCTATAGCCACACCTAAGCAGGCCGGACAGGTATTGCTAAATTTGAAGCTCAAAACCACTGACTGAGATTGATTATTTCAGACATAGTTTACAGAGCTTTACTTTGTTACTAAGAGTCTGAGTTGATGAACAGAAAAATAACTTAAAAAAAAACACCCCACACTGATCTGAAAGCCGAGCTGTTGCTGTAGTGATGCTGACTTAGCTGGTGGAGGAAGAGCTCTGGCACTGATGTTTGTTTCTGGGTGAAATGACTGTACCATGGTCCATATGTCACTAAAGAGACAACAGTCCTGTCATCAGAACTCAAAACACTATCACAAGCTCTACAGTGTATGTGACCCATGTGCTTTTTATCTGATGTCACAAGCAGGTCAACATCTTTCCACTATGAAGATGCATCTGTGTTATTTGAAATTTTAAAGAGTTACCAAGAGTTACCCGTTGGTGAGCTTTCTTTATATTTTCTTTATACTTTATATTTTATTCCATACAAGAGAAAATGTGTGAAATTTACAAAGCCATATTCTTTCAAATAAAAAAACTATATAGAAAAATCATTAGATCATCCTGAAACCAGCCCAAAACACAATTTAAAATCAGTCTGAAACCAGCCCAGAATGTGATACAAATTCAGCCTGAAACTGGCCCGAAAAACAATCTAAAATCAATCGGAAACCCCAAACCATGATATAACAACCAGTCTGAAACCACCCCAGAATGCAATATAAAACTGGTCTGAAACTGATCCAGAACATGGTAAAAATTGGTCTTAAACAGGCCCAGGAAGCAATTTAACACTGGACTGAAACTGACCCAAAACACAACAATGTTCTCTCAGTACAATAACCAGCATGCATTACAGAAACATATCACTGGGAATCCCTACAGCATCAACAAATCCTGATTGTTAGCCACTGATCTAAACACTAATAAACACATCTGTGCTGGTTGATAGAAAACCGCTTTTTGTTACAGAAATATTTCAGCTGAAGAATTAGCCAACTAGCAAAAAATATTTCAGCTGACTCATTTAACTCATCTAGTTCAGTTCACAAACCCTGTGTTATAAGGTTATTTTTTTTTCATTTAAAACTTATGACAACATTTTTGATAAATGCTCTTGCGATTTAAATTCCAAAATGGTTCCTTACTTTGATGGAGAATGGGCTGTAGATGGTTCTATATATCACCAAAAGTGTCCTTCTATAGTTTTAATATCAGGACCCTTTTTTTTTAATGGGGGGGTGTATGTATGTATATATATATGTGTGTGTGGTGTGTGTGTGTGTGTGTGTGTGTGTGTGTGTGTGTGTGTATAAATGTAGGGCAGTATATACAATAACATAAAGATAGTGATTGTACAGTGGTTGAATATTTCTTAATTTACTAAATATTATAAACAATACCAGATGCATCATAAATAACCTTTTAATTACATTCCTACACACTGTTATCTACACGAAATATACAGTATATTTGAAAATGTGCCATCATCCATTTTTACAATTATTCACTATAACACAAGAAGACTACAGGGAATGAACATAAGAAACACTCTAGTGGTGAAAACGAGAAACAACAAGTTCTCCAACCACATGAACCGCACTGCAGTGCTGAGAATGATCCACCACCCAAATAGTACCTGCTCTGTGAGGGTCCATGGGCGTCCTGACCACTGAAGAACAGGGTAAAAGGGGGCTAACAAAGTATCAGAGAAACAGATGGACTACAGTCTGTAACTGTAGAACTACAAAGTGCACCTATATAGTAAGTGGAGCTGATAAAATGGACAATGAGCGTAGAAACAATGTTATGCCGGATCTGTGTACATATAATTCTGATCTATTTAAACCCAAGGCATTAATAGAGATAGTAATAAGCTAAATATATACAAAACCATCATTTATAGGGGACTTTCTGTCGGGAGGTGTCTGTCCCAAACCCTAACCCCTAAATTTACACTTGTCAGAACCATATTTTCATTTTTTTTCAGGAAGTGAGGCTGCGTCCCTGTCCCTCATGGCCACATGGTGAGCAGCTAGATCCCACTGTTTTGAAGTAATGTGTCCCGAAGTCTGAAAATCAGTGTGGAACATTAAGAATTTAAGAACTTTTTTTCTGTTATAATGAAAAATATGATGATTTTATGTGTGTAAAGCTGTGTTTGCTAGTCATGTACTGGCTGCGTTTTTAAGGTCTTCTCAAAATGAGCTAAAATTGTTACTAACGAAACAGTTTTAATGGTGACAAAATTGAATATTCCATCATATGTTTTAATAAAATAAACATAATTAAGGTATAGGGTCACTCAAAGCAAAAGGATTTTAGTCTGAAGTCCAAGGTCAGTTAAAAGTCCCAAATGTGTTTTAACCCCTGACTTCAAACCAGTTTGGTAAAAAGATCCATACCTAAACAACACAAAATGAAAATACAAACTTCACCCAACAGAAAGCAGGCATGGGTCTTCACTGTGCTCAAAATATTTTAAAGTTCTGGTTATTCTTTTTCTTCTGTTATTGTTCTTCGCTGTTTTATTTAAACACTCCTAAAATCTGTGAGTGCTGCCCCCTCAGCAGCCTTCTGCATCACTGGATGTAGTGATTGTTAAATTTTCATTTTGGTTGGAGTGTCCCTTCTAGTACTTTGTTATGAATGACCTGTGGAACTTGAGCACTGTTGTAATAGAGTCTGTGCTCTTTTCCAGGAGAGTCCCAGCCTCAGTAAATGAAGAGGTCCAGGAGACCCCAGTGAGCGGCTGCGTGACAGACCCCCGGGGCTCTCAGGCTGTGACGGGAGTGCAGGAGGCCGAGCCGAGCCAGATAACAGATAATCCGGATTAAAGCCTTTTCTCTTTTTACCTCTCTTCCCAGAGGAGAGCTAATTTAGAGCATGAGTGCTGGGAAGCATTTCCAAACGCAGCGTGAGACCACTTACGAGTGAAAAGCTGTCTACAGTGATTATTACCTGTGTTAGTTTGATTGTTATTGTTTGTTTAATTACATTTGCCTGTTTTTGTTGTTGTTGTTTTACATTTTCACTGTTTATACATGTAATCTTTGTTTATATATCACTGTTTCTAGAAATCTATGATAAATTTTGTGACTTCAATCAAATTACGATCTTTTTAAAATCATATTTGTAGCACATACATACATACATACATACATCATCTAAACCGCTTATCCTTCTGGGTCGTATGCAAAAGTTTTGGCACCCCTGGTCAGGTTACATTTATTATATTGATTTTCTACATGAAATCAAGTTAACACAGTCCTACATAAAACACACTACTGCACATTCTAACGCAGAATTACTGTTTAATTGCTGAATTTAACGTTTTGGGAAGAAATTAAACATAAATACGGCCTGTGCAAAAGTTATGTCACATTTCTGTAAACTCAGCAAATAAATAGAAATTGTGCGCTAAATTTTGTGCTCTTTGCTCTGTGTAGAGGACGTGTTCACTTATTTTCACTTAGAAAATTAATAAAACATGCAATTTGACCAGAACGCCAAGACTTCTGACTGTAGGACAGTTGAGAATGGTTGACAGAAATAAATCTGGTTACTGATGTCGTATGTCAAATACGTGACGGTTCAGATCTTGCAGATTGTTGCAGTAGCCAGTTTAAGTGTTACTTATAAGTATTTCACTCATTTGAACTAGCAAAAATCGTTTAGAGTCTTACTGTCTTTTTATGTTATCAGTGTTGTTTTTTAGAATTGTAAGCCTTGACACTGCACAACTGATTTACCATTACAGTGTTCAATTTTTCCAAATTCCTGCATAACTCAAAGGTTAAGATGTAAATAAAGTCATTCAGAGTGGTTTGGTGTGAAATGCTCCATTCTAGAGAAACTTACAGAGTCAGAATTGTTCACAGTGGTGGTGAAAGGAACCAGACGTCCACCCAGTCATTGTGTGAAATAGTAATGAATTTGTTGCCTGTTGTCTGAGACATTGTTTAACAGCAGTTTTGTGAAGAGTTTGGCCTTAAAGTGTATTGTTAAAATCCATTCGTCGTGGAGGGATACATGCAGGGCGCTGTGAAGCAAAATAGTCTCTTATATTTGTGTTGTAGTCATGGTGACCCCTGGTTCCTGTCACCACTACTGTAAAGAAAACTACCATTTCACACCAAACCACTCTGAATTTACATCTCAAACGCTGTTTTTATCATTACTCAGCACCAAGCTGTAGGATTTTTTTTAAAAGAGAAATATGTTCAGTGAGACCTTATATAAAAGAAAAACACAATTATTTAAAACCACTGTTTGTTTAACTGTATTTATTGTGTATTAAAGGCCTGTGGCCTCATTTAAGAGGTTCAGATTACTTTGTGTCCATAGAAAACAATAAAGTTAGAATTGTTATTACAGTTATAGAATTGTTGTACAGTTTGTTGTCCAGTGTTTCTGTCCTCTCTGTTAAGTACAACATTACTATTAATTCATTTATTTGATTTAATAAAAACAACAGTTTTAATCTGTGCTGTTCAAGTAATTTCTTCCTAGCATTTAGATTCTGTCAAAGCAGATATAAAATGCCATTTCTGCCTGTTTTGGAGGCCCCTCAGTTGAACTATGCATTTTTTTTTCTTCAATAACATTGATGGAACATATTTCAGTGAAAATATTTATGATTTATAAAACTAGAGGCGAATTAGACAACATTTATAAATGTGTCGTTATTGTGTTTAAATGCTGTGTGTTTATTGTGTCAGTTGTACAGGATTCCTTGCTATGAAGAAAGCTGCAGTTGTCCTTTTTATCTCAGCATGGTCATCTTTGTGGAGAGGTGTGAATTGCTTTTCACAGCAGGGGGTCTCACCTCTCCCCATTCACCCCTCATTTCTGGCTAGCAGCTGAACACAGAGTCACAACATTTCAGAGAGACAATAGAGTCCTAGTTCATCTCAAAGCAGTTACAGGGGAAAAATATTTTATTTAATTACGTTGGTCTTATTATCAGGAGATCGTAAGTTAGATTCCCTGGTGATGCTACAGCAATCCGTGACGCTGAGAGACCAGGAGACCACAGTTGTCCACGCTTTTTCTGGGTGGGTAGGATGCCCCTCGCCATCTCCCCCCTATCACCAAACACAATCTGCCAGCGTAGGCTTCTGTCAGCTGACGTTACAGAACGAGCAGGTTAAGTTGTCCAATGATGTTGTGTTAACGGCAGTTTGAAAAGATACAGTGGAGCTTCACAGGACTCGGAGGAAGCCTTTGCTAGCTTTCACCCTCCTAGTGCTGGTGGTATCGTGTGATTACACCTGCTGCCCCATATGGAAAAACTGTGTTCCAAAAATATATTTTTAAATATTTTTTTGTAAATGCATTTTAAATGTATTTTCCAAATATATTTATGAAATACAGTTTTTGGAATGTACGATAATGGCCAAAAAATATGTTTATTTCATATGTTTTTAAATGCATATATTTTTTCAGTTGTGTGGAGTTTTAAAGGTTACAGATATAACTAAATACACAGTAACTAAATGAACGGTACTGACTTCTGTGATCTGCATTGTACTTTACATTAATTATGTATGTATGCAGTAAGACACTCACACCCAATGTATTTCAGATAAACAGGATATCAAATCATAACTGCATTTTCACAGAGTATCAATACATACAACACTCGCTTTTGTCATGTTAAAGGTGCATTTGCTAATATTTAAAATTAAGATAGTGGAATACAAATTCATTTCAAAAGGTATCAAACAGTGAAGTGCATTAGACAGGATTTTGGCTGTTTTTATATATTTTCAAATGTATTTGTTAAATATATTTAGATATTTGTACTTTTTTGTGTGGTACATTTCTATGTGTAATATTTCCCCACACATTTTAAAATAAATGTATTTTAAAATATAATTGGTTAATATGGCAATATATTCTGAAATACATTTTAGTGTTAGGAATGTATTTCACACTGGACTGCAATGTGTTTGAAACGTATTTCAAATATATAAAAATACATGTCCATATATATTTTTTCCATATAGGCAGTCTGATCAGATTACTGTTATTGGCTACTAAGACTGAAAAATATAAACTGAGAAACAATTCTGAGTGTGACAGAATTATTGTCCAGAGTTTGTGGAAAAGCGGTGTTAGATTGGATTGGTCTGTCAGTTTCCTTATGTATAAATGACAATGCACTTTAGTCAATAAATCATTAATTAAATAAAGTAAACAGGGTAGCTGGAGTCAAATCAGTTTGTGAATTAATAACAGCAGTTTTTTACAAAATGGGGGGATGAGAAATGAAAAAAATGAAAGGAAAAGGTGCACAACAAAAGTGATGGATGAGTAAAGGAATGAATAATGAACTGTGAAGTCATAAAAATATATGCATGTGCGTATATATGGGTGGGAATCTCTAGGTATCTCATGATTCGATTACGATTCAGAGGGCTGCGATGCGATTATAAAACGATTATCGATGCATCTTTTTTTCTATACAGCATTTCTATTTTCTCACTGTGTGAGGACTTGGTAATGTTGAAGCAAAGTGACACTGAGGTGTTTAAAAACTCCATCAGCACTGCTGTGTCTGATCCACTCAGACCAGTGCAACACACACTAACACACCACCACCACGTCAGTGTTACTGCAGTGCTGAGAATGATCCACCACCCAAATAGTACCTGCTCTGTGAGGGTCCATGGGAGTCATGACCACTGAAGAACAGGGTAAAAGGGTGCTAACAAAGTATCAGAGAAACAGATGGACTACAGTCTGTAACTGTAGAACTACAAAGTGCAGCTATATAGTAAGTGGAGCTGATAAAATGGACAATAAGTGTAGAAACAAGGAGGTGGTCCTAATGTTATGCCTGATCAGTATATATATACATATGTGTGTGTGTGTGTATGTGTGTATGTGTGTGTATTACACACTATGCATTTTATGTGAAAAACTTTAACCAACGATGGGTATTTGCTGTTTGCAGTATTTACTGCCACACTGCCACCTGGTGGCCACTCAGACTAAAGTAAGCATTTTTAAACATTTGAGACAAAAAGTAGTGCCACAAAATCAAACATTTGAGAACAGAAAAAATACATAAAAACAATACAAATAAAAATAAATATTAAAAAACATAATAATATTTATGCTCAATAATGTTTTACCTGACTAGAATGGAGTGAATGCCTCAGTTAAAAGGTCCATATCATCCATCCGTCCGTCCGTCCGTCCATATCATCCATCCGTCCGTCCGTCCATCCATCATCTAAACCGCTTATCTTTCTGGGTCGCGGTGGGGTGCTGGAGCCTATCCCAGCCGTCATTGGGCAGAAGGCAGGATACACCCTGGACAGGTCGCCAGTCCATCACAGGGCAGACAGACAGACATACACATTCACTCCTAGGGGCAATTTAGCATGTCCAGTCGTCCTGACTGCATCTCTTTGGACTGTGGGAGGAAACCAGAGTACCCGGAGGAAACGCACGCAGACACGGGGAGAACATGCAAACTCCACACAGAAAGGATCCTGGTCACCCGGCCGGGAATTGAACCCAGGCCATTCTTGCTGTGAGGCGACAGCGCTACCCACTGCGCCACCGTGCCGCCCCGAGGTCCATATCATGGAAAACTGAATTTTCCTCACTTTTTTTTAGAAGAAAGGGTTATACTGTATAAACATTGTTAGAGTTTCAAAACGTAACATTCACTCCCTAGTCCATGTACAAAATAAGCTGCAAAAACAGCACGTTGAGTTCACTGTCTTTGTGATGTTAAGCACCCATTTTTACATCAATCTTCAATTACTCTTAATTCATTAAAGGGAGGTCAGAAAATGGTCATATAAAAATTAATTGGGGATGGAGATACAGGGCTGGTTCATTAGTAGGAATAGGAGGATGGACTAAACCATTTCATGTAAATAGAAGGGAGGGGTGGGCGATACAGAAGCTCTGGATGTTTGCGATTTGCCAAATACTGTTTTATAAGTACATTGTAAATAAAATATTCTATTAATGATGATAGGTTAATAATTTAGTATCTAAAAAAATATCTTGTGTTCTAATATTTTTTAGTCACCAGCACTTAGAAGAGCAATTCCAGAAGCAAAAGAGTGATTCCAGAGGCAAAACAACTATTCTACAGTCTACAGAGTGATTCTAGAGTCAGGACAGTGATTCCAAAAAAATCCTATTAAAAAACCTTAAAAAACAGTTTCTGTTGGATCCTAATGGTTTTGTAATGTGTTTTGGCTTTTTTAATGGGTTAATATCACAATGTAAAGGATCCTAATGGTTTAACAGCTGACCACTGACTGATTTCAGATGACAAAAAAGCAATTTCAGAAGCAAAAGAGTCATTCCAGAGGCAAAAAAGTGATTCCAAAGGCAAAAAGCAAGAGCCAGAGGCAAGAGTGCCATCCCAAAAACACATTCCAGAAGTAGAAGAGCAATTTCAGAAGCAAGAGAGCCATTCTGAGGGCAATATAGCAATTTCAAAAGCAAGAAACATATCAGTGAAATCTGTAAATACAAAAAAAAAAAGAAAAACTGCCTGAGTAATATATTTACATCACAATTAATGTAAATATAGTAGTAGTAATCTTTACATTTAGCTTAATCTAGAAAACACTGAACAAGCTGAGCTCAACCTGATTTTATGCCTCTGCATCTGAAATCCAGAACGGTGCTTCTTTATCTGGTGGAAGGAATTGTCAATGTTAAAGCATATTTTATAGAACTTTCATTTGTTTTGCTCTTTTTGTTTATTTTGCAGAAATGTTGTACAAAAGTAATAGATCACTGCAGGTCGTGTGTTGTGGTGAATATGATGATCTACTGTACTCATTTTCAGCTCATACCTGCAACCAAAATAGCCATCATGCTATTAACGCACTCCCTGTCATGTTCTATTGCTTAAAGGGCCCATATCATGGAAAAAGTCAATTTTCTTCACTTTTTATGGAATTATAGAGTTTTAAAACATATTGTTCACTCTCCAGTACATGCAGTCCATGTACAGAATCTAAACTGTAAAAGCAACCTTTTTAGAATTCATTGTTTTTTTATGTCACAACAACCAACTCATCTACAAATATCCACCTAGAGCTGTATAGCCCCACCCACTCACACTAAAATTATAAGGAGTGTTTCAGTCCGAACTGCTTTTTAAATAAGGAAAAATACAAGGCAGCCAATCAGAACAGAGGTCATTTACAACCCCATTTCCAAAAAAATTGGGACGTTGTACGAAATGTAAATAAAAACAAAATGCAATGATGTGTAAATTATTTAAACCATATATTTCATTAAAATAGTATAAAGTCAACAAATCAAATGTTGAAACTGAGAAATTTTAATGTTTTTTTGAAAAATATATGCCCAATTGGTGCCGACAACACGTTTTAAAAAAGTTGGGACAGGGGGCATGTTTACCTCTGTGTTTGATCACTTTTTCATTTTAACAAACTCTGTAAGTGTTTGACTGCTATCCGCCGAATGACAGCTGGGATAGGCTCCAGCACCCCACCGCGACCCAGAAGGATAAGCGGTTTAGATGATGGTTTTTATGGTTGTAAGTGTTTGAGAACTGAAGAGACCAATTGCTGTTTTGAAAGTGATATGTTTTCCTATTCTTGCTTAACACAGAATTACAGCTGCTTAACAGTTCGGGGTCTCCTTTGTCGTATTTTACATTTCATAATGTGACAAATGTTATCAGTGGTGACAGGTCTCGACTGCAGGCAGGTCAATTTTGCACACAGCCTCTTTTACGACGGAGCAAATACATGCAGAATGTGGTTTTACATTGTCTTGCTGAAATAAGCAAGGCCTTCCCTGAAAAAGATGTCGTCTGGATGGCAGCATCTGTTGCCAAAACATGTATATATCACTCAGCATTGATGGTGCCTTCATAGATGTGCACGTCACCCATGCAATGTACATTAATGCACCCCTATACAATCATGAATACTGGCTTTTGAACTGTGCACAGATAATAAGCTGAGTGGTCTTTAGCTGGGTGGACACAATATTCATGATTTCCATAAAGAATATTAAATGTTGATTTGACAGACCACAGGACACTTTTCCACTTCCCCTCAGACCATTTTAAATGAGCTTAGGCCCAGAGAAGACGGTGTTGTTTCTGGATCCTGTTTACATGTGGTTTCTTCTTTGCATTTTAGAGTTGTAACTTGCATTTGTGGATGCAGTAATGATCTGTTTTCACAGACAGTGTTTGTTTTTCAGAAGTGTTTCTGAGCCCATGCAGTGATTTCCACCTGCCTTTTGTTGCCCCGTCCCAACTTTTTTAGAATGTGTTGTTGGCATCAAATTTAAAATGGGCTTATATTTTTCAAAAAACAATAACATTTCTCAGTTTTAACATTTGATATTTTGTCTTTGTTCTATTTTCAATGAAATATGGGGTTTAAATGATTTGCACGTCATCGCATTTTGTTTTTATTTACTTTTTTACCTAGCATCCCAACTCTTTTGCAAATGGGGTTGTACATTTACATCACACTTAAAGGCACAGTAACCAAATGGCCTATTTAATTTTAAAGGGATAAAGAGAGGTTGGAAAATGGTCATGCAAAAATGAACTATGATGGTTTGGGTACCATCACAAAGGGGAAAAATACAAGAAAAATGTCATGTTTTAATGCATCCTGGGTATTGTAGTGAGAGAACATTTATGAATAAGAACACCAAAAGGATACAAAATCATAAATTCTGTCAAACTAGCTGAGAGATACAGAATATTACACTATACAACTTACAACAGACAGTAGTTTTACGCTGACCTGCTCCTTTAACAAAGGCTCCATATGTGTTGCCTTTAAAAACTGGCCAGATGGTGGCACCATATAGGCAGAATTTTATCATGCTGGAGATTGAGCTGTGAGTCAAAGCCTTCCTACCTGAGCAGGTAACATACCAGTTTAGTCACACCCTGAGGCTAAAAACTTGCATAACTGCTTCCTGAAAGTCGTCCACCCGGCAGTGTACAGTCTCTGGGAGTGTCCGTGTGCCGCTCACAACTTTTAACTGACAGTTTTCAGCTTTGCCCCCTTCACCGAATTTCCCCCCAAAATGACAGACCAGGGACTCACTGAAGTAGATACCAAACCGGACTGTAAAGCGACAGACCAAAGTCTCACTGAAGATGATACCAAACCAGCTTGTAAACTGACAGACCACGGACTCACTGAAGAAGATATTAAGGCGGCATGTAAGGAGGGAAATCCAATCACTAAAGTAGGTAACTGGCTACACTTTAATCATATTTTCAGACAGTGGAGCTCAAACATCATTTCTTTTAATTATTTCTGACAGTAATAAGCTGCAAAATAGTACTTGATTAGAAACACTTTGTGCTTCCACCCACTGGCCGCTTTATTAGAAACACCTACCTTGTACTTCCACTCACTGGTCACTTTATTAAGAACACCTACCTTGTGCCTTGTGCTTCCACTCACTGGTCACTTTATTAGAAACACCTACCTTGTACTTCCACTCACTGGCTGCTTTATTAGAAACACCTACCTTGTGTTTCTACTCGTAGTGGTCCATTCTCAGCACAGTTTTACACGCATTAGTGTCACTGCTAGACTGACAGTGGACCACCACCCAGAAACTGACCACTGAGGAAGAACTAGTGGATGAACAACACAAACTGTACATCAACAGATGAGCTAAAAGAGAGGGGTTTCTGAAAAAAGTGGATAGTTTGTGTGTAACAACAACTGTGCCTAAAGTTCTCTCTCTCTCTCTCTCTCTCTCTCTCTCTCTCTCTCTCTCTCTCTCTCTGTAGGATTATATGATGCAGCAGACCATGCTAAGGGTGAAGGATCCTGTAAAATCACTTGACTTCTATACACGTATCTTGGGCCTCACGTAAGTTCCAGTATTTAACTGACTATGGCCATAACAACACAATCAGTAGACTGCAACATCTCCTCCACTCTATTAAACGGAGTTAACAGTAAACAGTAAACAGAGTTATTCAGAGTGGTTTGATGTGAAATGGTTCAGATTTCTTTACAGTGGTGGTGATAGGAACCAGGGCTCGCCATGACTACAACACAAATATAGACATTTTATTTACTATCCAAAACCACCAGTGAACCTACACGAGTCTTCTCAGTTTTATATGGAATGAATCATGGTAAAATTGTGGAAAATCTGAAATAATAAGTTTTCTTTGGGGACAATGTTGCCTTGCACATGTCCCTTCATCGTGAATGGTTATAAAAATAAGTTTTAGGCCAAAAGTCTTCTCTGTTAAACAGTGTCTCAGACGTCCAGCGGTGTATTCATTACCATTTCATGTAGTAACTTTCTGTGAGGGAGCTTTAAGAGGTGGACATCTGGTTCCTATCACCACCACTGTGAACAATTCTGACTCAATAAGTTTCTGTAGAACGGAGCATTTCGCACCAAACCACTCTGAATGACTCTGTTTACATATTAAGCTCCAGCTCACAGCAGTGTTTTGTGCCTGACTCGTTCCAGATTGCTGCAGAAGATTGATTTCCCCTCCATGCACTTCACGCTGTATTATCTTGGTTATGAGGATAAAAAAGAAGTCCCTCAAGAAGTGAAAGAGAGGACAGCCTGGACGTTTTCCAGACGAGCCACCATTGAACTTACTCAGTATGTTCCCTGCATGTTGTGATCACTGAGTAACTAAACCAAACTCTTATGTTTTACATTCTTTCATGATAAATCCAGCAGATAACTATCCAGCAGAGCTCAAAACATCTCAAAATTCTTAAAGTTTTTTGTCCTGAGGCCTTGGCATCTTATCCTCGTTCTGTCTCTGATAGTAACTGGGGATCAGAAGCTGATGAACGCCTTCTCTATCACCATGGAAACACACAGCCTAAAGGCTTTGGTGAGTTTATGACTTTAATTTAGAGCCTTTCAGTTTCCATGCTGAGGACAATTAACCTCTTAATATCTCATACTAAGGTTTATTATTCAGAAACTACAGGAACTTCAGTGCAAACTGGCTGAGCTATTCTTAGGTTATCTTAGGTGTGTAATAAAACTTTCAACCTGCCGGTGGGCCCTGGGCATTTAAGGGGTTAATAAAAACAATGAATCAGGAAAAAATACCAAAAAACATATATTTCTATGATTAAATACTCTGGCATTTAACAGTCCAGTGTTCCCTATGCCAAACATACTATATTCAACTAATAAAGATCCTTAAAATTACAATAAGAAATGCACAGCACTGCGCTAGAGTCGTTTATCTGGGCAGTAGGAGTTTGTTTGTTTAAAAACACTGACATTAGAATACATGACAATAAAACAAATAAACAATCCATTGTGATTGTTCTGTGTGTGAGAGTGTTAACCCACAGGCCCACCTTCAGGGGGTCATTTTAGGGGGCAATGCCCCACCAGCCCATTGTCATGCCCCACTAAACTCTCTATTTTTTACATGCTTCTTAATACTATTTTATTTGATTTTCTATTTTATTGTCTTTTATCTTTAGCACTTTGATTTTTTGCAACTATCTCTGCAAATGCCTTTCTGAGGTGCTAGATCTCAGAACGTTATAAGCTTTATTATTTATTATTATTTTATTTTTGTGTTTGTGTGAAACACTTTGAATTACCGCTGTGCACAAAATGTGCCATACAACAAAAACTTGCCCTGTCTTGCCCTCTATAGCAGCAAAAAATAAAGTGAAGCTAAACTTTGGAGCACGGCATACAAACGGCTACATCGACTGGGTGCGTTCAGACAGTGGAGCGCATTACATTTAAAGCCCCATTATATCTGTAAGATTCTACTTGTTCCATCGTGGATTTCAGTAGTTTCTAAGTTGAATGATGTCCAATTTAAGTGGATAAGCTCCACTTTTCATGTGATAACTAGCTCACTTTAATGAAATATATGTTTGCTTGCTGGTTGAGGTGTTCAGGTGACCCCTCCATTTGAGAGGCAAGCATGAATTCATAATGTAACTTCATAATCAAGCGCACTCAGCTGCATCACTCAGGTTTAATACTGGAGAGCATTGAAGTTGGAGCAGAGAAACTTTAGAAACCTTTGACTTAAAGTCAGCAACACGAAGACGCAGAGAATAGCCAAGACATAAGAGAACTGATGTGGTTTTATTAGCAAAGAGTTTTATTGTAGGCTGTTCACAAAGACGCGCACGCTGTGTTCACACTATCCTATTGCATGATGCCACGTATTTTTGCAAGATAATTTTAGCCGTTTGTCCAATTGTTATTTGGTTGTACTTCTTATGGGAGCCACCAAACTTCTCATCAGCTTCAATGTGCAGTTTTGATGAATGAGGATCATTATGTTGTAATATATTGCCTAAATAGTGCCTTTCAGTATATGTATATTATATGTTCTATTAAATAGAACCACTGTTTTCTAAAAAGTTTTTTACTGATGTTATATTTGCTCTATTTCTGTAGGTCATATAGGCATTGCTGTTCCAGATGTATACGCTGCCTGTAAACTCTTTGAAGAGCTGGGGGTTACATTTGTGAAGAAGCCAGATGAAGGTGGGTCCTTATTTTACAGACGGAAACCTTCCCCCTTCAGCACTACATCCTTCACACATTCATCTCTATCAGGCAGTAGTTTAGATGCCCTCAAGGTGCATCAGATAGGTTTGGTGACGTGGATGTAACTTTGTTATTGTATAATGTTAGTGTATTTTAGTTCTGTTAGTTCTAAAGGATTTTAAAGGGACTACACTTTCAAAAAGTGGTCGGAACAAAATTGAGTATAAAAAAGAACAGGATGCACGTTCTTAGCTTCCCCAGTGTAAATTGTACTCGTGGTGTAAAGCATTTCGTCACTGTAGGAACAAAACCTCGGATCTCCAAAACGGTAACTTTACAGTAGAAGGGAAAAAACATTCTTAATGTAATGGAAGTCAATGTAAAAAGATTTTAGGTAACACTTTATTTGGAGTGGTCCTTTGTAGATGATTAATCAACTCTTAACAGATTATCAGTAACACATCAACAACATATCAGTGAAGTATCCGTAAAGAAGCATCTGAATACATTAAGATAATTGTCTTAAAAATTTACTGTTGATACATTTCTGACATTAAGTAGATGTATTGTTAAAATGTTACTTTTACCTAACCCTAACCCTGGCCTTAATCCTAAACCTAAACTCATCCCAAAACCTAATTCTAACCCTCACTCAGGCCCTAATCCCAACCATAACCTGAATCACAACCCAAAACTTAATTCTAACCCTCACCCTGGCCCTAATCCTAACCCTAACCTTAACCTCAACCCAAAACCTAATCCAAACCCTCACCCTCGACCTAATCCTAACCCTAACCTTAACCTCAACCCAAAACCTAATCCAAACCCTCACCCTCGACCTAATCCTAACCCTAACCTTAACCTCAACCCAAAACCTAATCCAAACCCTCACCCTCGACCTAATCTTAACCCTGACTTTAACCTCAACCCAAAACCTAATCCTAACCCTCATATGTTTCTGACCTGTTACTGAGAGTCTGTAACATCTAAAAGGACACTCAAAATAAAGTGTCACTCAAAATAAAGTGTCACCTTGTGACTTTTTTCTAAGTAATTTTGAACCAGGTCGTTTGGTCCATTCATCATGACATTTTCACACTGTGCAAATGGCACCTGGATTTTTATAATTTATATAGAGCAATGAAAAACAATAAAAATGGAGACATGAGGTTTTGTTCCGACAGTAGCGACTTTCAATATAATATAATAATAATTACAGTGCACTCACAGACTACAGTAGAAAATGAACCACAATAATCTTCGTATATTCTAGCCTGATCAAATGTAGATTTAAAAACACCTATCAATCTAACATTCCTAATATTTTCTGAAATGCTTTAGAGCTCTGTAGGAAAATCTTCCACCAACTAAGCTGTAAGAGATCCGGCAATCTCAGGAAAAAATGTACCTTACCCCAACTCACTGTGGCAGTACCCCTCTTGTTACTGGGGTGGTACCCTCAAGGGTTCATCTCAGTATCTTTAGTCAAGGAACATAATGGTACCATAATCCATTGAAATTTTTTTTTATAAATTGCATTGACTCCATTCACCCTGTCTTGTCTCCAGGCTTTTTATTTTACCGTTCTGTTTTCAAACATTACGCTATGAAAAGGTGGGCTGCTGCTCTCTCAACTAGTAGGAGCCAATTTAGAGGGACAGCAGAGTGACCAACCTGTGATTCTCTTCATGTTTTTTTGTGTTTACACAGGCACGATGAAGGGACTAGCATTCATTCAGGACCCAGACGGCTACTGGATTGAGATTCTGAGTCCAAACAATATGGTTTCTCTGACCTCAGAGACAGAGAGACCCTCAGCTACCCAGAGTGAAACATCAGACACAGTGTGACAGCTTTAGTAGCCTAGCCCTAAAAATACGAGGTCTCAGTCAGGACCTCAGTCAGGTCTCAGGCATCATATAACACAGTTTTAATCTGTTACAGTGAGTCTGTGAGCTCACCTGCTTAGTGTTATGTGACTGGAACTGATATTATTTATGTACCATAAAGTGTAATGTAAGTCTATGGATTTTGCAAATGTGTGCATCATTTCCAACATGTAAGAAAAACTGTTTTCATATTATCATTGTTTTAGATATATGGATATTTAAACTATTGGGCTGAACCTCACACATTACTGTGATGTGATATGGAAACTAAAACACTCTGCATATGTTTTTGCTCTATGAATGGCAAGTGAAGAATGGCAAGAGAATTATTATACACTATCTGGACAAAAGTACAGGGACACCTACATGTTACACCTACAGAAGCTTTCATGACATCCCATTCTAAATCCATAGGTATTAATATAGAGTTGGTCCCCTCTTTGCAACTATAACAGCTTCCACTCTTCTGGGAAGCTTTCTACAAGACTTTGGAGTGTGTCTGAGAATCTTTGCACATTCATCCAGAAGCGCATTTGTGAGGTCAGACACTGATGTTGGACTGGAGGGCCTGGCTCGCAATGTCCATTCTAGTTCATCCCAAAGGTGTTTGATGGGGTTGAGGTCAGGGATCTGTGTGGGCCAGTCAAGTTCTTTCACACCAAACTCCCCAACCATGCCTTTATGGAGCTTGCTTTGTGCACTGGGACACATTCATGCTGGAACAGAAAAGTGTCTTCCCCAAACACAGAATACGTTTCCACTGCTCCAGAGTCCAGTGGCGGTGTGCTTTACACCACGGCGTGCTGTGGCAGAGGTGGTATCCTATAAAAGGCACGGACCTCATCAGTACCATCCATTCTAATGCCAGTGTTTGTCTATGGAGACTGCAAGGCTATGTGCTTAATTTTATCCACCTGTTAGCAATGGGTGTGGCTAAAACACCTGAACTCAATAATTAGGAGTTGCATCCCAATACTTTTGTCCATATAGTGTATCCAACAAAAGTTATGTGTATGAACTGCATTTTCTTGTGTTTTCCTGCTTTAAGGGTACCTCACATTTCATGTAATTCATTTGAAATGCAACAAATTGTATATTTCACTACTGCATTCTTTTTTCAGGAGCCCAACTAATGTATTTTAATAAATCTATTCATACAGCTATCACATACAAAGCAATAAAAATATTAAAAATAAATAAATATTATTAACATAATAATAATAATAATAATAAGAAGAAGAAGAAGAAGAAGAATATACTCTGCTATTTAAATATTTGTTATTCAGCATGAACTGATACACTGTAGATTGCAATGTTAGAAACTACACTCAAAAACATAAATCAATGGTTTGTGTAAAATTATTTTAACAGCTTCCTCTAAATTGAAACAAAGAATGATTGCATCACAATCAAGTACTTTTATTCATGTATCTGCAACAAAACTGCTTTTATAGCATTGAAAACAACGACTCCCAACGTTTGAATGGCAGTGCAGTGATGTTATTTTCTGCATAGAATTGTGACGCAGGAATAAAATGCTTGAACGCGAGCATAAATACGGTTTGAAGGTTTATATTGTTAATTATAGGCAGTTTAAGGCTAAATAGGTTTGATTAAACTGTACAACTGCAGAAAGTTTATATAAGCAGCGTTGCTGGGATGTTATTGCACCTCCACAGGGAGGGGGCGTTCTCTCTCTCTCTCTCTCTCTCTCTCTCTCTCTCTCTCTCTCTCTCTCTCTCTCTCTCTCTCTCTCTCTCTCTCTGCGTTAAAACCAGAGAACTTGTAGAGAGGAGAATTACCACTTTTCAATGCCTTCCGGGTTTCTCAAACGCTAGAGGGCGCTCCCGAGCGAGTCCAAAATGAATGGGCTGATATGGAGCATTTGAGCAAAATCATAGTTTATAAATACTTAAACATTTTTAATGTAAAAGAATGCGATCATTTCCTGAACGTTGAATAGCATAAAATATCTTAACACCGCTGTTACATTTTTAAGAGCTTTTAAACTCGAGTTATAGGAGTTTAAAACGGCGCCTCATGTATGCTCGTGACGTCAGTGAGCGCGAACAGCCAATGAGCTGCTCTATTCGTCAATCAATGTAGAAAAAAGGAAATATATAGGTAAGATTTCTTTGTTTTTTTTTTTTAGTGAAAGACATCCTTCTGCTTTCTAAAATTAAAGAAACGTTCTGGGTAAGTGATTAGAAACTTCTTAACTTTTCGTTTTTAGTCGTTGAGCTCCATTGACTCCCATTCAGTGAGGACTCGCTCGCGGGCGCCCTCTGCTGTTCAGCAGTCCTGTGTGTGATAGGAAGTGGCCAGGCTCCTCATAAACCGGCTGTGGTTAGAACCGTTAAAAACTCAAAAACATCCGGGTTATTCGGGGCTGGGAGCCGCTTCGTGACAGCTGTTTTCTTTACCTCAGTATAATATCACATTTTTACTCTTTACACAACAACTACTCTGGCTTTATATTGAGAATTTACCCTTTTATTTACGTTTCGACTGTCAGACCTTTATGGTGGAGCTGAATCTGACGTCTAAAAAGAGAAACGGAAGAAAATAGCGCGGACGGACAGAGCTCCGCAGAGAGCTGGTAGGACAAATGATGATCCTTTTAGCTTTAGTTTTTGACTTTAAACTAATTCAGCACACATTTTAGCGGGTGAACTGGAAATTATTTAGCCATCCATAACACTAAATATGAGACAAATACGACGCTGGACTGGGCTTCTTTTCGAAATTTCTGTTCCACCTTAAATGGCTTAAATGGTGCCGCAGTAACCGGCGCCAGAGTGTAACCGCTGCAACTTTTAAGGTGGAACGGTCAAGTCGAGTAAGAAGCCAATCTTTTCAGACGTCTTTGTTGATTTATTAGTCGTGAGCAGTAATTAAGCTAAAAATCGTGCTTCAGTTTACAGCGTAGTTAGTAAACAAGATTAAATGCTACTTTTCAGCTCAAACCATCGATTATAAAAGGCCTGTTATCAAAAGGAAAATACCTTAATTTCGAAATTATTATATAAGTGTGGCATAAAATTGGGAATTAACAGCACAGGACCTGTCTACTTATCAGAATCTGCTGTTTGAAAGCTCAACACTAACGGCCAGCTTTCTGGAGTCAGTTAAATCCAGTCCACGTCCTTTATTTCAGTGTCTTGTTTATGGAGATGAATTTGTGCCAAGTTGAAAATCTGTCTCTACAGTGGAAGAACATGAAATGCAATGCATACATGACATTACTGTCCCATATAAACATGCCAAAATGTATTTACTGAAAACAGTACATGCATTTAAAGTTTTCTTAAATGCAAGGAAATTGTGAGAATTTAATACAGTCCATCTTGAAATGTAATGAAGGTACTTCATCAATGTAATGCTTCCCCTTGCAGTACTTGAGCATTGTAAATCAGTGTAATGGATCTATCACGTCTCGTTTTGACACGTGTTCTGCATGTTAACCTACAGTTTGAATGCAATCTCTCATGTGCAGTGCATTTCACTGTTGCCTACAATTCAATGAGGCAGAAAGTTTGAAGGACAAAAAAGGAGTCAAGAGAGGTGAAAACATTGTCATAGAGGTTTTGTTTTTCGTTTTGGCACTAATTTCACATGTCACTGTAGAGCAGTGATGTTTTGTGCACTACTTTTCACTGTTACTGTTAAAGTACGGCACTGTGAAAAAGCAATATGGCAGCGAATTCTTTACATTTCAAGGCAGATTGTATTCAACTCTGACACAGATGGTCTCCAGCGAGGTGAAAACAGTGTTATAGAGGGTTTGTTTTTAATTTTGGCTTGCATTCTGCATCTCGCTATGGAACAGTAGTGTTGTGTGCATTGCATTTCACATTTGTCCACTGTAGTAATTGCTTTTCAATTTGGCAGAAATTTGTCTCCATATTTATTGGCATGGCACATAGTTTACTTTTGTATTGGCAGTGCATAGGTCACAAAGTTTGAGAAGGGAACATCCATTAAATTGACCGCTTTAAAGTGTGTAAAAATAGCTAGCTATACCTAGTATTGTACGGAATATACAGTACTCTGCAAAAACCATCTCAGAAAATGATATGTAAAGCATTAGGAAAAAACCCACAAAAACACTGTGTTGCTCATACAGTTACGGTCCAAGATCTTCTAACTGTATCTTTCCAACTTAGATATCAACAACCATGTTTGTGTTTATTTGTATTTATTACAGTGACATTTAGTGTTTTTACTGGCAAAACACATTTTCTGCCCACATAAATAAATGATATTAACAGCCGCCTAAGACTGTTGCTCAGTATTGTGTATGCTGATTGTTTGCTTTAGGCAGGAACATAACCACAACCAAAATATCTTTAGGTTGAGGTTGCAATGTTGTGTTAATGAAGGATCACGGGCTTCTAAGTTCTTTCTCCAAAACCTTTCTCAGGAGGAAAGAGGAGATTAGCTTCAGCATTTAGCTGTAAGAAGTTCTGGAGATGATTGAGAAAAACATCTGTTCTCCTTCTGTACTCATAGACTGCTAAAGATCTCTGAGATGTAGAAGAGAGCTGTGAAAGAAAACAGTGCGTCTCATTCCCAAACATCTTTCTAAGTTTGTTCTTAAACATGTTCTTGAGAAAGATCCTAAGAAAAAGTCTCTGTCAGATTTATGACGTGTTCTTAAAGCGCAGAACTGTTCTTTCCTTTGTGCTCTCAAGTGTATGTAGATTCTGTTCTTACCTAAGAACAAATCCCAAATAAGAAAACACTGGTGAATGTCAGAAGTGGGTTTTAAGATTTTTTTTTTTCTTAAGAACGGTTGGTGAATGAGGCCTATTGAGATCTTATGTAAATATTATGCTAACCTTATACTAGAAAACTTCTAGTCTGACACTCTCACATCTAAAGACCATGTCAGATTTTTAGTCATAAACTATGATTTTGCAAAGACTGGGGATCTTGCAGGGTCACTCTTTGTAAGACTGCAACTAGAGTTTTGAGATTATTTCCCATCATGCACCTTTTGGAAGTTTACAAGCAGAGAAGCTGTTTTCCTTCTCCACTCTGTAGTGATACAAATGGGAAGATACGTTGGCATGTAAAGGGCTCAGCACAATTCACTGTAGAACTGCATATTCTTGCACATCATCATCATTAGTATTTTTTTAATTAATCTGTAAAATGTGCAGTTACCTTTGTATTTACCATAAAGATTTACACATCAACAAAACATGCAGTGATTCAGCATTGTTGATTGTGTGTTATGAACTAAACCATAAATAAGGAACAAACAAAATAAGAAACCACTGTAACTGAAAACACACAAAAGGGTGAAAAAAAAATTGATGCTTCTTCAGTAATGCTATTCTCTAAATTCTCTAAAAGTCCTCTGCACATTTCCTTACATCACTGTTGCGTTCAGGGAACTTAAAATATTAAAACAGGCAGTTTACACTTTAGGGAAATATATTTATTGTTGTTTTAAAGTGGAGTTAAAACACCAGCAAGACTCTCATGATTTTATTCCAATATTGGAAATTTGTCTGTGATAGTGAAATCGCTTAAAAGGTGTAAGGCCAGTGTTATTCTGCTCAGACTAGGGTGAGATGACTCAAACAGGACTCAGGAGACATAAATGAGATTAAGAGGAGATGTTAGTTAGAATATTTCTTCCTCTGGCTGGCTGTGATGCTGTACACTGTTTTTGGTTTTGCATTAAATTGTCCTGTTGTAATTATTCTCCTGACAGATGCTACAGCTGCAGCAGCGGTGATGAGCAGCAGCAGCCACCCGTTACGCCCCCTCGGCTCCGTGTCAGAGATCGATCATGTTGATCTGCTGTCTGAGCAGCTGGGGGCGCTCATACCGGGGGAGGAGTACAGCGATGTGACGTTCGTAGTGGAGCAGAAACGTTTTCCTGCGCATCGCGTCATTCTGGCAGCACGTTGTCACTATTTCAGGTAGGGGGATAAAGCCTGGTCTCCGCTGTTCAAAATATAACCTGTAGGGCACTGGTCTCCAACCCTGGTCCTGGAGCAATACCTTCCTGCGGAGTCTAGTTCCAACCACAATCTGCCTCACCTGCTCCAGCTAATTAACATCTTAATAAGTTCCTGATTGGCTGGATCAGATGTATTAGTGTTAGGAAAGGGAGGGGCAGCATGTTAAATGCAAATTGGAGCTAAACTCAGGGTCCAGGGTTAAAACCACTGTTGTAGGGGTTTAAATCACTGTTAACTATTCCTTAGGAAATAATTCAGTGCATTATAGATTCTCAAATGTCACCACAAGTTGATTTGATTGCTACGATATGGAATTATTTAAAAAATAAAAAATAATAAATATATGAATGTCGCTGTAGGAACTATTTGCACAGTAATGTAATATAGACAAAAAACATCTCAAATAGCCTGAGAATTTAATTTTGGCCACAAATAAATGCATATTTTATTAAATATTATTATAATTAATTTTGACATTCTAAAATCAGTACAGCTGAATTGCCACCGTCAGATCGAGTCATCATGATGCACTGCAGCACTTTTAAACCCAGCCTGTGTATTTAAGGGATGTCGAAACTATGAAAATAATTTTAAACAAAGTGATTATATATTTTTAATGAAGCTTCTTTAAAGGTTTCCCTGTTTATTTTTGAAAGGTTCTTCATGGTCTCTTATTGCTTGGGTAATTGTTAATATCATCATCTTTAGATTAGTCAAGTGCTGATATAATCAGTACTGACAGCTGTACTTTTCTGTCCTGCAGAGCTCTGCTGTACGGTGGAATGAAGGAGTCTCAGCCACAGGCAGAGGTCTGTCTAGAGGAGACTCGAGCTGAAGCCTTCTCCATGCTGCTGGGTTACATCTACACGGGTCGGGTCAGCCTCAGTGCGGCTCGGGAGGAGGTCCTGCTGGACTTTCTGGGTTTAGCGCATCGCTACGGCCTGCAGCTCTTGGAGGACTCCACTTCTGAATTTCTGCGAACCATCTTAAACACTCACAACGTGTGCCTGGTGTTTGACGTGGCCACGCTGTACGGTCTGAGCGCGCTCAGCTCCGCCTGTTGTGCCTACATGGACCGACATGCCCCCGAGGTGCTGGCCTCAGATGGCTTCCTCACCCTCTCTAAGGTAAAAGTGGCTTTGGGTGGGTCTGTTAAATTGTGTTAAACTGTTAAAGAGTCTAAAAAAATTAAAAACAATAATCCAGTGTCTCGTTTGTCTGTACCACACTGTTCAGTGCTGTTCCTCTGTATTAATTCCTGCATTTTTCTGATTTTCCTGTGTGTTTGTAGGCGGCTTTGCTGACGGTGGTCTGTCGGGATTCCTTCGCAGCCAGCGAGAAAGAAATCTTCCAGGCTTTGTGCCGTTGGTGTCGCCAGAATGCAGAGGCAGAGGCCACGCAGGAAGTGATGTCAATGGTACGCCTGCCGCTCATGACCCTGACGGAGATGCTGAATGTGGTGCGACCCTCAGGGCTGGTCAGTCCTGACGATCTACTGGATGCCATCAAGTTGCGTTCAGAAAGCAGAGACATGGATCTGAACTACCGTGGCATGCTCAGTGAGTTCAGTTTGATCCTTAGAGAGCCTCTAGATCTCTCTCTAATGAGTCAGAAAATATAAACCCACTGGAAACTCTTCATAAAACTTTTGTCCACAGTACAAGAATTTGTACACACTTGCCACATTAACAAGTTTTGTCAGTTCATGTACAATAATAACTCCTTAACAAAGTGGATTTACATATTACAAACTATTCCATTGTTTTATTCAGTGACCTGAGTAGAACTGAATCCACCATTTAAAGGAAGCTAGTAATCAAATCTTGAGGCAGAATTGTGCAAAAACACAAGAAATATTGAATAAAACATTGAAAAACTACCATCTTGTGTCTAGGTTGAACTAATTCCCTGATTCAAATTTATGCATGCAGTTTTGCAAGCAAATCAGTATGTTCTGTTTGAGCCTATACGTTTCATTTAGTGCTGATTTTAGGTTTTGTGAAACGACAATCAATTGATACGATCTTATAAAAGAGTGTCTTAAAGAGTTCATATAATGGAAAACTGAATTTTCCTCTTTTTTTTTTTTAAATAAAAAGCTTGATGTTTGTTTTAAACTCTACTAAAATTTTAAATATATCACAGTCCATACAACCCATATATAAGCTAACTGCAAAAACAGCCTGGTTTGAATCAGTTGCTTCTGTTATGTCACAAAAGCCAATACATTTACATTTTTCCACCTATTCAGACATTCAGACTATGGCAGTTTAGCTCCGTCCACTCACATCTAATTGTTTCAGCCTGGGCTGATTTTTGAATAAAGCAGCCAGTCAGAAGAGCCTATATACGTATCATTCTTAAAGGCACACTAACAACAACAGCCTGTTTAATTCTAAGAGATAACGAAAGGTTGAAAAACAGTCATGTAAAAGTGGACTTTAAAACTACAGAAAGCTTGTGACAAGAAAAAGACAAGAAAAACAGAATATGGGCCCTTTAACGCTTTGTATGCTTTGTTGAACTAGCAGTTGTGTGTGTTTTTCTGTGTTTCTGTGTAGTTCCTGAGGAGAACATTGCTACGATGAAGTACGGAGCTCAGGTGGTGAAAGGTGAGCTGAAGTCAGCGCTGCTGGATGGAGACACTCAGAACTACGACCTGGACCACGGCTTCTCTCGACACCCCATTGAAGAGGACGGCCGAGCGGGGATCCAGGTGAAGCTCGGCCAGGCCTTCATCATCAACCACGTCCGCATCCTTCTGTGGGATCGGGACAGCAGGTACACCACCGACCAACTTTAACCCACCAAGACATTAAAGCGATAGTTTGGTCAAAAATCATATTTGGAACATAGTTTTCCCCCTAAACTTAAATGTAGTCAATTAGCAAAGACATATTTGGTGTCTGAAGTTTGCTTCTTTAGTTTTACACCAAAGCTACACAGCTAACAATTAATGGAAGTGTACACCCCAAATTAGCATTGTGGAAACTGCATGGTTACCTCATCACACACTTTCCCCAAACCATGTCGAGTCTTTAAGTGAAAGGTAAGTGTATCATTCCGTGTCAAAAATCACATAAGCATGTCTGTTCAAGATTAATTAAAGGTTTCCTATCCTACATCTGATGTGTTTTGTTTTTTCTCTCTGAGTTTCAGTTAAAGTTTGTGTGGGTTTGTGTATCAAAACTTCTTTTTACGTGCCAATTTTCCAGCCTCTCTTTATTCCTCATAATTAAACAGGCTGTTTTTGTCACTGTACCTTTAAGACTGATAAATGTAAATGGGCTCTGTTCTGATTGGCTGTGCTGCATTCAAAAAGCAATTCAAGCTGAAACACTTCACATAAGTGCAGTTTGAATGGGCAGGGCTAAACAGCTATAGGTTGAATAAGTGGATATACATAGATGAAAAGGCTGTGACCTCACAACAGAAGTAAATTCAAAACGAGCTGTTTTTGCAGCTTAGTTTCCATATATATGGACTGAAAGTGAACAATGTGTTAACAGTGAAACTAGCAGTGTTTACGTCACACTTAAATGGAGAAAACTGTAAATTTGTATTTTGGCTGAACTGTTCCTTTAATATAAAAATATTGCATCAGATAATTTTTCTGGGCTTCTCTTTTTCTCTGTAGGTCCTACTCATATTACATAGAAGTGTCTATGGATGAGCTGGACTGGGTGCGAGTGGTGGATCACTCAAAGTTCCTTTGCCGCTCCTGGCAGAATCTCTACTTTCCTCCTCGAGTGTGCAGGTAAACTGTTTGGCCATTTCCTTCCAAAGCGGCCCCCCACACATACTATATGGACAAAAGTATTGGGACACATTACACCTACAGGAGCTTTTATGACATCTCATCTTAAATCCATAGGCATTAAATTTGCAGCTTTAATCATTTCCACTTTTCCAGTATGTCTGTGGGATTTTTTGCCCATTCATCCAGAATAGCATTTGTGAGGTCAGGACCTGGCTCACAATCTCTGTTGTAGTTCATCCCAAAGGTGTTTGATGGGGTTGAGGTCAGGACTTTGTGTGGGTCAGTCAGGTTCTTTCACACCTAACTCACCCAGCCATGCCTTTAGGGACCTTGCTTTGTGCACTGGGGCTCACTCATGCTGTAACGGAAAAGGACCTTCCCCAAACTGTTCCCACAAAGTTGGAAGCGTAAAATTGTCCAGAATGTCCTGGTTTGCTGAAGCACTAAGGGTCCTAGGCCAACCCCTGAAAAACAACCCCATAGTATTATCCCTCCTCCACCAAACTTTACAACTACCACAATGCAGTCTGGCAGATAATGTTCTCCTGGCATTCGGCAAAATCAGACTCGTCCATCAGACTCCCAGATAGAGAAGCATGGTTTATCACTCCACAGAATAGCGTGCAGTGGTGGCATGCTCTACACCACTCCATCCGACACTAAAACTAAAATTTGTCTTGGAAGTTCTCACTATTATTTAAAGTTTTAACTTCGCAGTGGACACATGTGAGGACAAAGGTTTTCCCCTATTCAGACACAAACTCTAATGTTGCTGTTGTATATAAAATACTTTTGCATGGCTCCTCTTGCTACACTCGCCTGTCGTTTTAAATCTCTGTAGGTAGCATCATCTGCTAAAAACCTTATCGTAACATTTATAAACTGTCTGTGAATAGGACAGAGAACATGTGAAGTTATATAAATAAAATAAAAGTGTATAAATAACTAGTGTAGTTATCTTAGTTATCACAATGATCCGTGTGGACCGTTACACAAAGTGATAGTGTGGATAAGTTTGATTCTTTTTCACAGCACACAAATATTTAAATTTTCCTGGTCATCACAATAGCAGTGATGTCACATGAGACAGACAAATAGGAAGGTCCGTCCACTGGGCAGCTGTCTTGGCCAGGCCTTTGCCCCGGTCATACAAGACCAAGTTTCACTAGATGAGCAGGGAGAGACCTGTAAACCTGAAACTGTAAGGAAAGCTGCTGCTTCAAAACATACAGTAATTGGGACTGAACTGTGCAGGTTTGTCTGCAGATTCTTTGAGAAACTGAAAGTGAGTCTCCTGAAAAGAATGGAGGCTGTGATAAAGGTAAAGAGTGGACACACTAAATACTGAAACATCTGATATTATATTTAGTTGATGGGTTCTGTGTAATTTTTTGATAAATATTTTCGGCTTTTTTCTTGAATGGCTGATTTGACTGGAAATTAAGTAAGTGAAGGGTGGTCTCTGACTTTTGCACAGTGTTGTTTGTTAAATCTCTGGCTAAAAAAACTGACAAATTGCATGAAATAGTTTGTTTTGTCTGGCTTTAAATTACACACAAAAAAATATTTTTCAGGTTGTTCTGTCTACTACTCTTGCACATATCTCCACAACCAGCTGGGCTTTCTTGCTTATGACTTCAACAAAAACTTCCCACCATGTTACGAGTTATTTCTTCAGATTATATCCAGTAAACTGTGTCCCTTTCATAATGTCTCTGATTAACCATGTATAATTGTGGGTAAACAGGAAAACCTGCTTCACTCTTCATATATTTTCAGTCAGTCAGTCAGTCAGTCAATATTAGTTGTATCATCAAATGTATCAGTTATAATTGTAGAGGCATGTTACACTGGTAACTCAGTTAAGCAACAAAGATAACTGACACAGACCAATACATTTTCAGTAAACTGACTGACTGATAGACTTATAATGTAAATAAATATATAAATAATGCACTAACAGTAAATTAATTTTCACTCACATTTGAAGTGAGTTGATTCAGTGCGATGTTTGTGTTGCAGGTACGTGCGCATTGTTGGAACACACAATACTGTAAACAAGGTCTTCCATCTTGTGGCCTTTGAGTGCATGTTCACTCAGCGTCCCTTCACCCTGGAGAAAGGGCTTCTGGGTAAGAGTCACAGCTACTTAATGCTTCATTGTTGTGAGACTTTGCAAATGACTGATTTCCATGAGAGTGCTGTATGTCTGAATACATTCCGTAATATGTTATTAATTCTCTCGTATTAACATTTTCTCTGCCTGAAAAACTGAGAGCAATTGACATCTTTAGCTCTTTTTTAAATGCACCTATTTAACCTGTGAAAATCACATTCAGTGGCTTCTTATTTAGTAATTATATGGAAAACAAGATGACTGAGTTATTCTCAAAGGAGAATTCCAAAGTTTCTGCATAAATAAGTGGTTAAGATGTAAACAGATCCATTCAGAGTGGTTTGGTGTGAAATGCTCTGTTCTAGAGAAACTCAGGGTCAGAATTGTTCACAGTGGTGGTGATAGGAACCAGACATCCACCTCTAAAAGCTCCCTCACAGAAAGTTACTACATGAAATTGTTATTAAAACACTGCCTGATGTCTGAGACACTGTTTTATGATGGTTTTGAGAAAATGTTGGCCTAAATTGTATTTTTGAAATCCATTCATGGTGGAGGGATACATGCAGGGTGTTGTGAGGCAAAATAGTCCCCAAAGAAAACTTTCCATTAAAGTTTTCCACTATTTTGCCTTCATCAGTATTCCATGTAAAAACTCAGAGGACACGTGTAGGTTCACTAGTGGTTTTGGATAATAAATAAAATTAATTAAAAAAGAAAATAGAAAATACTTTTGTAGACTTGGTGATCCCCAGTTCCTGTCACCACCACCAAAAAAAAATCCCTACAATAAACAATTTCACACAATACCACTCTGAATGACTCTGTTTACGTCTTATCGATTGAATTAAGCAGAAATTTGGGAAATTAGTACCTTTAACTTATAGGCATGATAAATTGAAGGTGTTAATGTTGCATTTAAGTAGGATTGTATTTTGTTGTTTAGTTTTTTAGTTCATTATTCTGTTTTTGTATTTATTATTTGTTCCATTTTATTCTGTTTATTTTTTCCTTATTTTAACACCTGTCAGTTAGGAGCATGCTAGGCTGAACATCCATGAATGTGTGACCTCTTTGATTTTGTTGTATGTCTCTGCAGTGGCCAATGAGAATGTAGCCACAGTTTCAGCGTGTGCAAGTGTGATAGAGGGAGTGAGCCGCAGTCGGAACGCTCTGCTGAATGGAGACACGCGCAACTATGACTGGGACTCAGGCTACACCTGCCATCAGCTGGGCTCCGGAGCCATAGTCATCCAGCTTGCACAGCCTTACATCATCGATTCTCTGCGGTAAGACAGGAATAATGAATTTCTCCTAATGTATTAATTATTAATATTTCTCAAAGCCAAGGACACTTTACAGAAGTGACAAAATACATAATCAACAATAAACAAAACACACACACATACAATTCCTCAGCTGGTGGAGGGTGGCCTTCGTTACTACAGTGTAGCGTCACATATGCGGCCGGCTCTGGCAGCCTCGCACGATAGAGTCTGGCTACAGACATGCACTCTCAGCCAGATGTACTCTCAGCCCCAGTGACGTCACATGCACATGCACTCTCTGCCACAATGGCAGAAGCAGCCCAACAGCATGTTAACCTTTGGCTGCTGCTACTTAGCGATATCATTACTTAATCCATTTTTCACCTGGAACACAGCTAGAGAATTCCATACAATGTACCTCCCTGTTGAAAAAAGTCATAGAACCCACTAAAAGTGTCTGTTGGTTCCTGGTGGTGTCCAGTAGTCACTAATGGTGTTCTGTGTTTTCCTAATGGGTTGATATCACAGCGCAAAGGATTCAACCATCAAGCCATCAGGTTTTATTCCTAATGGTTCTCTATCGTCTTCAGCATGGCTTTCATGAGTTTCAGCAGTAGCCTGTTTGTTTTTTCTACCTTTTTATCAGTATGACAACGTTAATATTTGTTCAGTATAACTCTTGTTGCCCAACAGTACATGGTTCGCTGTTTTTCCTCATAAAACCGACTAAACCACTGTCATGGCAGAGCGTGCACTGACGTCATTAATAGGCTGTCGGTGTATGTCAGGCTTAGAGTGCATGTCTGCAGCAGGACCCTTCTCGCCTTGGAGCTGCAGTGTAGCTGCATCAGGTGGCCAGCCCCAGCACCCTCTGAACCTCTGGGAAAAATAATTCTTGGCTACTACCTCAGTTGATACGATTGTCCCCAGCCAGCAGAGAAACATCAGAACATACACACAAACAATACAAAACAGTACACAAATAAAACTGTGAAGCAGCAGACTCATTCCACCAGTGTACTTACACTGACGCACACACACTGAGCACAGAAAAGACAGTCCAGCTTGATGTTTAGGTCTCAAATGCAAAATCAACAGTATACCCATAAAGATGTGATGACAATAGTAGATATTTTACTCACATCCTCAAATGTGTTCTCCACCAGGTTTTGACTGAGGTCTCTTTATGTGTGTGTCTGTGTGTGTGTGTGTGTCTGTGTGTGTGTGTATTGTTTTAAGTTGAGGTTAAATTTACTTAACACTTAAAATTATACGTTTTATATCTGAATATAAATATCTTTATATCTGTTTAAGACAACGTTTTAAGATCTTTTAAGATCAGCTTTTGTGATATATAAAATGTTTGATGTAAAAAAAAATAAATAATTGTTCAGCTCTAGGGCACAAGAAAAATGATTTACTCGTGGAGGTATTATTTGTACTCGTCTGATTGAACGAACTTTTCAGTAAAAAGAAGGAGAAGTGTGTCAACTTTTTGACTTGTACTGTATTTGGAAGCATGGAGTGTTTTGATGTACCAACATTGTGTACTTTTTGTTGCTGGTGTATTATTAAATCATTTAGCATCTGTTGCAGTGAAGATAACATCTTATTTTTAACGTTTAGCCTGCTGCTGTGGGACTGTGATGAGAGATCCTACAGTTACTACATTGAAGTTTCCACCAATCAGCAGCACTGGACTAAAGTAGTGGATCGAACCAAAGTGGCATGTCGGTGAGTGTTTACATCTGCATCTGCCTTTAACTCATCACTATAACAAACTTTCACTTATCAGACTCTCTGTGCTTCACAGATCCTGGCAGACACTGAAATTTGACAAGCATGCAGCTTCTTTTGTTCGCATAGTGGGAACTCACAATACTGCCAACGAGGTAAGGAAATACACTCAGCTGTAAGACTTGGCAATTTGACAAAAATAGAACATCACTGTACTTGAGGATAGGTTTGTGCTGGTAACATAATGCTCTTATTCCAGTAACTACTTGTAAAATATCTGCGGTGAAGAGTTAAACCAGTTTGTGTGGCCTTCTATTTGTCAAAAGCGATAGCTCAGGAAACTCAGATGCTATTATTGTGTTTGCTCCCTTGTCCCTTTCAGAGTTAGTTAAAATGACCTTTGTTAGTATCGTTTTTATCATCATCAGCATCATCATCATGTCTGATGTGTTCAGAAGCATTAGCAGATGTAATTAAAGATACTGCTATTACTATTACTACAACTACTGCTACCACTAATAATAGGAACATTGTTTCTTCTGGTAATTTTGAGACAGTTTCTTCATTGGTTTCATCAATATTAGATACAATAAATATGGCATTAATGTAAGATATTACATCACGCAGCATACATAAGCTCAATCATTTTCATGTGTGGACAGGGCTATATGTACATTTTTTGAGCATGTAGTGCTGGTGCTATAAAAGTTGCAAGTAGCACAAATTTTTAGCATTGAAATAAAAGTAACATAAAATGCTTCTAAAATATATAAATGGAACGATTTGTCATATTAACTGTGGAATAATAACAAAATCACTGTGTAAAAGTTTTGTATTTTAATATTCATGTTGTGTATACAGAGAATTAACTTCTTGAATATTTCAGATTCCTCACAAGGGAGCACTGTTAGCACTAAGGGGGGGGGCCTTATTTGAACACAGTCTTTGAAAACCCTCAATAGCAGTAATGCACATATGGTTGGAGTCAGACATTTCAGAATGTGAAGTGAAAGTAAGGCTCACTGTTATGTAATAGTGATTTTTAGTTTAGTCAGCTTATGATTATTATTAAAAATAGGCCAAGAATAGTAAAGCTTCCAGAAAAGTAGGACTTTTTTTTCATTTAGGCAAACTGTAAAATCCCAATTCAGAAGAATTTAAATATGACATTACAGCTCCAAACTAAACACTTTCTTGCCATTTTGTACTTGGCAAGGGCCTTTGTTTACAAACATCTGGATTTGTTCTTTAGTGTTGGTATTGCCTGAAGAACTTCAGCTACCATAAACTCCAGAACTGAACCTGCTTCACAGCTTGTGCTACTATGCTAAGCAGATGGCTTGAGCAGTTGAGAAATGGTGTTGGACTGGTTAGAAAATGAACAGGGAAAGCTTGTAACGCTCAACTTGGCATCTGTTCACACCCTTCAATAAAAAAGCCAATTGACTTGCAGATAAGGCCACAAGCTGGAAAAGCTCACCCTCGTTATGGAGATGTGAGCATGTGTAGTAGCCAAAACCCCTGGAGAGGAAAAAAAGTTTTTGTGAATTATTACCAGTGATTTCAGTTAATTATTTCAAAATTATGTGTTTAGTTTGGGGTTTATAAGTGTCTCTACGCTCCGAGAGACAGGAGCCTGGTATTTTATGTAGAGCTGAGCGATATGGCAAAAATGTAGTATCATTAAACTTTTCTGACATCTTTTAAGTTAGAGCAGATGAGTAGTGCCACATTAAAAAAATACTATCAGAAACTATGAATACAATGATTTGTTTTCAGCATTTCACATACTGCGCTTCACTAAATCCAGTTCAACAGGGATAATCATGCTCTCTTTTTAATCATACATACAGTAGGGAAGTGTTTTAATCGTTGACCAAATCCACAGTATGCTCCGAGATTATCACGAAAACACCCGTTTCATTGGAAGTAAAGTATTAACATTATGACCACCTCCTTGTTTCTACGCTCATTGTCTATTTTATCAGCTCCACTTACTGTATAGGTGCACTTTGTAGTTCTACAGTTACAGACTGTAGTCCATCTGTTTCTCTACATACTTTGTTAGCGCCCTTTTACCCTGTTCTTCAGGACCCCCATGGACCCTCACAGAGCAGGTACTATTTGGGTGGTGGATCATTCTCAGCACTGCAGTAACACTGACGTGGTGGTGTGTTAGTGTGTGTTGTGCTGGTCTGAGTGGATCAGACACAGCAGTGCTGCTGGAGTTTTTAAACACCTCAGTGTCACTGCTGGACCGAGAATAGTCCACCAATCAAAAATATCCAGCCAACAACGTCCTGTGGGCAGCGTCCTGTGACCACTGATGAAGGACTAGAGGATGACCAACACAAACTGTGCAGCAGCAGATGAGCTATCGTCTCTGACTTTACATCTACAAGGTGGACTGACAAGGAGTAGACAGTGAGTGGACACAGTGTTTAAAAACTCCAGCAGCACTGCTGTGTCAGATCCACTCGTACCAGCACAACACACACTAACACACCATCACCACGTCAGTGTTACTGCAGTGCTGAGAATGATCCACCACCCACTACCTGCTCCGTGAGGGTCCACGGGGGTCCTGACCACTGAAGAACAGGGTAAAAGGGGGCTAACAAAGTATCAGAGAAACAGATGGACTACAGTCTGTAACTGTAGAACTACAAAGTGCGCCTATATAGTAAGTGGAGCTGAAAAAAAGGACAATGAGCGTAGAAACAAGTAGGTGGTCATAATGTTACGCCTGATCGGTGTATATTGGGTGACCTTAAAGTAGCTGAATTCACTCGTTAGTACAGCTGTCGAGATACTTTCTGGACAGATAGTAGGACAGAAACAATAACATACTGTCATATTGCATATGCTTACTCATAAATCATATTTTTAATGTTTTTGCAGGTTTTCCACTGTGTGCACTTTGAATGTCCTGCTCAGCTGGACACTGAGGTAAAAGAAGGGAGTCCAGGGAATTCCTGGCCTGAGGCGGGCACGTCCACTCAGCAGCTCCGGCCTCCACGACCCGCCCGGTCACACAGCCTGCTGCCCTCCCAGGCACCTTCGACTTCATCATCCTCCTCCTCCTCCCCTGCACAGCACTAAGCGCTGCACTGAAATGTACAGTACTATACAGAGGTCAATACTGTGCAAAAGACCCTTTGTTTATTTAATTTCCAGTCTAAATCACTTAAGTACAAATTTTACAAGTTTTCAAGGGATTTTTCAGAAAAAAATGAAAAAAACAGACAGAAACACCTGTGGATGTTTTCCGATCTGAGGCAGCTTGATTTTCTCTTCTCTCTCAAAGCTGAAAGCTTTAAGTGCTGTTAAGGACAGTTTTGGTGTCTACCAGGTCTTCCAGGTGATTGTTAGGAGTCCCATTTTTTTTTTCTGTAGCTTTTAATCAGTTCTTGAACGTCTGGAAACTCCTGTTTCTCCTTTGACTTTCTCCTTCTTTATGCAAGTGGATTATCTTATATCTAATCTCCTCGGAAATATCTCCTGAAAAATGAATAACTAATACTTAATGGCCGTTTTGACTGGAAACTAAACGAACGATGGGTGGTTTCTGACTTTTGAATAGTGCTGTAGATGTCCTGGAAGTGGCCTTGAGTTGCCGTGGAGACACTATACGCTGCTAACTTTTTTCACTATGGATGAAAGCAGCTCAGGTTTATTTTTATTTCTGGGCTGCGTAGCGCTTTAGGCTAAATGATCCATTTGGTAAACATCACAGTATTTCCACAAAAAGGAGTTATTGCTCTGTAGAATAGCACTTAAGTGATTCCTCATGTAGGATTGTATTGCATTTTGCTGTTGTAACTGTTACTCAGCAATACTCATCCACTTATGATTAGGAATAAGCTCTGTTTATATATAATTATGTTTATCTGATTGCTGGTCTTATTTATTAGTGTATATTTTGTTATTTAGATGTTGTGAACGTGGTTTCTTTTTGAATTTCAGTATCTCTTAAAACAAGACATATGTTGTATTTATTCCGATTTTCTTTGTTTTATTGCTCAAATTGCTGTATTGGTTCCGAATTCAGTATTTCAGTATTTGCTTTAGAGAAATCTTTGTCTACTTCCTTAAAGATCCACTTGCACTTTGGAATTGAAGTGGGCTCAACCAAGTTATGCATTAGTATTAAAGCCTTTTGGTACTGCTTAGAGCTCCAACGCACTGCTCGCTAAAACTGTAGTCAGCGTGTGAATGGTAATTTAATGCCTGCTTAGAGAGTTAGCTGTGTCCTTTATGTGCTTTCAGGGCTGAGTGTGCTGCGTCCTGCTGAGACTGACCCACTCAAACTGCGTCCATTCTCTCTTGATCTAAACTGGTCTTCCCTCCACCCACTTCAATATCACTTTACTGTCCCCTTGCCATTTGCCCACGAGAGGGTTTATTCTCGTGAAACGCAACACTGGGATCCAATCTGAAAAACTTAATGTACTTAATGTTTTCATCTTTTTAAAATACATAAACAGTGTTAACTGGTTAAATCATTACAAGTAAACCTGAATGATTTTTATTCCAAATTGATTTTTAGTTGAATTTTCCATCTTAATTGACAAATTCTCAATACCACAAGACAAGATCTGAAGATATGCTGTATGCTGATGTCATACTAAGTATTTAAAATCTAAATATTTAAATATAAATAAATATTTAAAAAACAGTTGTATGCATGGTTTGGGTACCCCTGGTCAAATCATATGTTGACTTTCTAAGTGAAAATTCTGCACATTTTAATGCACAATTGAATTTAACATATCGGTAAGAAATAAAATGGCCTAAACCTCTTAGAAATTGTGCATTAAAATCTGCAGAAAAATGCAGCATTTAAGTTTGTCCTTTGTAGAGGATGTGTGAACAAAACTCATTCGACCAGGGTGGTTAAACTTTCGTGTGTATTTTACGAAATATAGTATGTGGTGCGATTTTATCTCACTACCAAAACACGCTGATGGCAATTGAGGTTTTTCTTTTCCCTTGTGTCACATGACATTTTGTTCTTTTGGTTCACTTTGGTTCACTTCCTTAGAGTTTAAAAGGAAAACTTTCAAGTTAAGCGATTGAACAGTTAACAGTATTATAAACTGCTTTATTTCTAATAAAAATAAGCAAAAAATGATATCAGTATTGAGAAGGGTAAAAATGCTAAAACCTTTAAACTACACAGCTAACAACAAATAATAAAGGCACTACAGCGGTTTTAAACTAAAGTTATCGCCAAACTAAGCAGTTATCCACAAAAATGTATGTACATTATGTTCAAAACTTCTCAAAGAAACATTGCGATGTTTGCATGGCTAACTTTGCTAAGCTAACCTAGCTGAGGGCAAGGAGGACATGTTAAAAGTAGTACTGAAATGGGGCTGAAATTTGGAAGTGCAGTGGATTTGGTGGGGTCTGATTGATGCTTACAGGCCTTTTTCTTGCTTTCCTGTCCTCTTTTCTTCCCTCATTTCTCTTTATATGTAATTTTTAAGGAAGGCATTAACTGTGTACACTTTTGCAGCACAGTCTGCATGGTTCGTTTTCTGAGAAGCCTCCAAGTCTTTAGATAGATATAAACTTTATTAATCTTGAAGGAAATTGTGAATTGCTTTTAAAAGGCATGCGTGTCCTCATTTGTACTTGTGTTAAGCTGAATAAAAGTAATTTTTAGAGGTAAAAGGCTCCATGTTGCTTTCGTCAGTCTCCACTTTTAGATATAGACGTGTGGTTTTGCTGCTTTTTCTGTCTGATAAGCGATCAATACTTATGATGCTCACATTTCATTTTGAGAATCCTCAGATAAGAATATCAATATCAAATGTATTCTTTAAACAGCTCATTCAATGTTATGAAATTGTATGTTAAAATGTTGTTTTCCTTCTGCTCATCATACGTACATGCTGAGTAATCATAAATCAACTCTATAGCATGATGGTGGATCATTTATTTCAGTCCAATAAATTATCAGTTTATATTTTAAGTTTATTCAGGACTCATACAAAAGCTGATCTGCTACTGGCCTTCACTGAGAAAATCGGAAAACAAGGTTCCTTTGAGTTAAATTTACTTAAAAAGTCAAAATATGTTTTTAACAAGGTTTGTAAATGCCTCGTTTTTTCAGGGGTATTAAAGTGAATCCATGATTGAGCTCATTTAGCTCTTTTAACTCTTGAAAATGAAGGGATTTTTTTATTTATTCATTTATTTACTTACCATATTTGCACAGTGAATGTAAAAAAACAAAGATCTCTTAGCTTACAGTGGCTTAAATGAGTAAAAATACATTTTTAGCATAGAATTAGCAAATACACAAAGCTAGTATCTAGGCTAATGGCCTGAGGGCATTAAGGACATTGTAATGATTTTCTTAAAATGTATTTTTTATTAATAATTTACTTTCAATCTATAATTTGGGTAGCAGATTTGTACTTTCAAAGTGACATTGTCAGTGAATATCACTGTGTCATGAAAATAAAGAAAATAGACACTCATGATCTTCAGGAATATTTGGATGATGTCATTTCCTGTTGAGCATGTGTCTTGTGGAATATTCAAGATATTTCAGAGGGGTGAATGTGTGGGACCCTAAAATGTACATTTTTCATAACCTATAATGATCAACTCGTTTCAAGCATGAGATGTTAAGACTTTTTTAGTGTTTTAATGATTATAGTTTGAGGTAAAGTGTAGTTATAATGGAACAGGCGTTACTTATCTGAAACATGCATATGAGGGATGTTTTATCTGTGTGAATTAAATATCATTTACCTTTACACACATTTGTAAAATGAATATCACTCAACTGGAAAATAGCTCCCCAATTGCATTCAATTCTGAGATGATACCCAAAGACCAGCTGTATTGTATATAACAATTCAGAGTAGTCCACCAGACATAAATATCTAGCCAACAGTGGTCCTGTGATAAAGGACTAAACACTCCTATCTACTTCTGGATTACAATCTGTTTGAGCAGAATAACATTGTTTTTGAGATTTGTGTGCATTGTTGCATGGTGGAAATGTTATGCTTTTCCTTAAAATAAAAAAGCATTGCATATTGTTTAAAATATTTTGCAGCAACCCTGATAAAGAATTCGCCTTTTTACTTGAACAAGAACACTTGGCATCGTGATATTAGCCTTTTCATATTACTCAGTATCGGATCGGAAACAGTGGTATCGCCCACCCCTCCTGCCTGAGCAGCTCAACCCCTTTAAACGAGCTTTGTACTACTGAGAACTAATGTGGGCGCTTCCATTCACACGGATTGGAAGACCATACTGCATGTGCAGGCACTTTGTCAAACTTTTCCTTACGTAACCCAATTATAGTTTTCTTGTTTTTTATATTTTGGAACATTTAAGAAAACTGAGCCATTAACATGATACTGCTTTCTTCTTTTTTGCTTATTTGTGTATCAACGCTTACGTCGTCCCCCTCCGTAAGTCTGTGGTACATCCCATCCAGCTGATCGCTTTGATTTCAGTAACTGATTCTCACTCAGTCACCCGAAATCCTGCTGCCTTGCGCTTCGCTTTTATGCCATTGTCTTTGAACAAAACACCGTTTTTTGGTTCCCGGAGGGTTAAACTAACATTTCAGGTAGATACCCGTGCTTATTTCTTGGTCTTCAACCGTTTTTAAGCGGTAGGCCTCAGCTTCATCCTCGGTCTTGCTTGGCTTCATGGAGGGCAGTGAGCGCAGCAAAGCGCCGGCGTTACCGCCTCGATGCCCCTGCGGATTCTGGGGGTGAGTATCTCTGTTTTTAACCCTGTTTACTGTTAAATAAAGTGGATATTTGGACCGAAAATCGGTCAGCTCGAAACTAGAGACTTTGCTGTGTCGTCGTGGCCGGGTGGGGGGTTGGGGGAGATAACCAGCTGATTTTGTAAAAGACAGAAATCTGTAAATGTGAATTCAGTTCACTTCTGATGGGGCTGTAGTAACTACGGAGCCCCTAAGGTGACGTGGTGATTAATTTTTTTAAAGGCGTGGCCACGAATTACTATATTGAGGCCACGAGTTAAGTTTCCCATAACTAAATCTCAAATAGTTTGTGGCTTCAATATTGTAACTAGTGGCCTAAATGTATTAACTCTTGGCCTTAGTATGCTAATGTGTGGCCTTGCTTTATTAAAAAACAGTCACCATGTCACATTAGGGGCTCTGTAAATAACTCCCCCTGGTTAGGTTTTGAGAGTTAATGTCAGTGTTCTAGCTATATTAGTTCACTGTCAAATAATCAAAGTGGGATGGTTTGTCCTTAAAATGATTTGGGATTTGTTATAATTTGGTGAGTAAGGTTTTTTGTTATGTTTTTATTTTTTAAGTCTGAAGACCTTGGGTGTGAAACAAGTTGAGTATTCTAGGCTAGTTTGGCTCTCATTGAAATGGTTTTTGTTCCTCTGGGCCTTGGTGTGATCTACAAGGTCGTAAAATTAGGAAATGGATGACAGGCTCAACCCTGAACATGGGTGTAGAGCATTGTTATCTCAACCCTGCTCTTGGAACAGAGGCATTGTATTCTACTGTACTGTTACCTTAACGTTATAGTAAGGCCGTAATATGACTGGTGTTATCGTGGCAAATTACATCACAATATGCTTTCCTTGTCATATCGTAAATGTTAGTGCTTGAACAACACTGACCAACTGCATTTCTCACTACAGAGAGAGTATGATTCGACCTAGATTTAGTGCAGCGCAGTATGTGAAACATTAATCGCTGTATTCATGATTTAATAGTGTTTTGTCTGTTCTACCTTATCAAACTAAATTTGAAAGCTGATGGATATCTTGCACCATGAAAATGTCTTGAAGAATCGTGATGATATAGCTTTACCATGTTGACTACCTCTACAATACATTCTAGACAGTAGTAAGGGTGACCAATCCTGGTCTTGGATATCTACTACACTGCAGAGTTTAGCTCCATCTATAACTAAATTTATCTGATCCAGCTCATAAAGACCTCCAGAGTCTTGTAAATGTTTGAGCCAGGTGGGTTGGATCTGAAATCTCCAGAGTGGTAGATCTCCAGGACCAGGATTGGGCTCCTGGACTACAGACACTGAAAGCTCCATTTCAGGTGTTTATGGCAGAGCGTCCACAGGCCGCACCTGCTTTTAGCCATCCAGCGCCTGACGGGCTGTTTCTCCCTTCAAGAGGTCTTCATGCTTTTCATGGCACTTCTCTGAAAGGCATGGACGTCTGGTGGGGTTAAACAGCATGGCTTTTGTGCCCTTAGCAGTGGGAGTGCAGCTGGTTGATGCTTTATTTTCCCAAGGCAGAAAATTGTCAGAAAGCATCACTGTTGGCACAAAATTAGCAGATATCATGGAATTCCCTGTAGGTGAACTGGATGGATCCCTGTAGTGATCTAGGCTCTGCAGGAGCTGCTGTTATATCATTCAGGCCCATGTCCAGTTTTATTGTTTTTATAGTTCTTATGTATACTTATGATGCTGTAAAGACAGTCAGAATTAATTTACGTGACCTGTGACTTAGAATTAGTTATATGTCTGAACTTTTATTCTTCTGTAGCACCGAACCTTCAAAACTAATGTAACTAACAGGTACCAGAAGCCTGTACCCCACCAATCAGCATCAGCTGCATGCCTAAATCATCACCTACTCTGATAGACTTGCTCATGTGGTTTCCCACCCCTTTTTTTGGCTCTTCTCCTCTGCTGATATTGATTTTTATATTAACCAAATTCGATTGTTTTCTCCACATTCTCAATGTCACCTTTCTGCTCTGAAAGCAGAGAAAAAAAACAAAACCCGTTTTGGTTTGAAGACCGAGGGCCCCTCCAGCTCTTTACTGAACGGTCACAATGACCTGAATACGCAGTGGACTTCCAGTTTCTCCTGTGCTGGGTTCAGCTGTGTTTCATCTATTATGTTCCACACGAAAGAGAAACCTAGAATGCCAAACTAAGAGGTGGTGATGTGACAAGTAGAGCACAGACCTGAGGCATTATGATTAAATATAGCATCTGGGAAATGATTTCTAGGCTAATTTACATATGGGTTGTCAAAACATTCATTTGTCACTGTGCTTGCTGAACCATTTCCAGAGCTCTCCTCGAGGAAGTCCGGCATTTACAGTTACCCTCCAGTACCTAGTTTACCTTCACTGTAAAAAATAAAGGTGCCCATCCAGTAGGGTTCATTTTAGGTGCCTCCCAAAAGCTTCCCATATGCTTGGGTTGCTGGAGGAGCCATCAATGGTTCTACAAGCTCTTATAGGCACTTCTAACTACCTTACTTGGTTCCATCAGGCGCCACATTTCAGCACAGGGTTTCTGGAGGAACTCTCCTCAAGCACCTTTGGGGGTTCCTAGAAGATCTTATAGGACCAAATGGGGTTATTTATGAACCCTAGATATCCCTTTTTAGGGTGTTCCTCAAAGGTGTCTTGTATTGTAACAGGTTCCTTGAGTAACCAAAAGGCTTGATGAGTCTCCAGTTATAGCAGGCTGCAACAATCAGCACACCACCTCATTAAACACAACAGATTCAGCTCAGAAGCTACTTAGCAAGGCCTTGTGAACTGAATTGAGAGCGTTAGATGAGGGTAAACGCTGATCTCCACAGCACTTGGGCCCAGAAGGTCCCCAGTTTGACCAGCCTGACCTACATCCATTTAAAAGCATGACTGAACTGCCTATCTGTGTATAGGTTCTCTGTGACCATGTGAATACTAATACTTAATTTCAAGTTTACGTTCAAGAGGCTTTGTCATTTCAGTTACATACAAGTACACAGTGAAATGAAACAACATTCTTCCAGGACCAACAATACACTGTAATAAATACAAAAGACTTAGAATAAATACAAAACCGGGCACAGACAGTACATGGTATTGAGAATATGTAGAGCAAAGCAGGATGTAACATACAATGACATATTAGCAGATAGCCCAGCATATGAGAACATAGCAGTCACTGAGGTAGCAACCAGAACAAAAGCAATGGAATACAGTAGTGGTTCACCAGATATATAAATTATATAATTATAAGAATTAAAGTAAAGTATTATAAAGTATTTCAGTGTGAAATGCAATAATTATATTTGATTACAGTATGTCAGACAATTATGTCAAGAATTGCAATAAGTGGGGAGTGGGATAGGGTCATCTGCTGTGTGTGTTAGGGTTCTTAAAATACCAAACTACAGCTTTTAAATTTCAGTATATGGTTCATCAGTTATAATAATCAGTGAGTCCTTCATTAAATTAAATCAGATGATTAAATTGAACAAATCCATGCCATGACTGGAGTGCAGTGAGAAGTCAGGAACCAAACTTAGGTTTTATAACTGTGTTCTTCTAACCTACATATTTATAACTTCACTGAACACACATTCTTATTATTCTAATTTGCTCGCAGGTATTGTGCAGCCCAAGTAGTTGCTTCCTTATCAAAACAGGTACACTACTATTGGAAAAGTGATGACGTTTGTGAAGTTGCAAAAGTAGTTAGTCTCGTCATCACCTGGATAAACATCCGCTGTTTGTCAGAATTCCTCAGGGAGGAGTCCGCCCGTCACAAGACCAGCCCGGAGTGATTTAGGCCTGTGTTGCAATTATTCATACAGTTTATCTTCTGTTCTCTATAATACTAGTATGTACTGTATTAGGGCTCTTTTTTTTTTAGAAAAAAAAACAGTTAAAACTTCGAATAGTGATGCACAATGATGTCAGAGTCACATCATCGGAAGATATTTGGTTTAAAAAGAAAACTCAGCCTTGGATTGATGTTTAGATCTGATTATATTTTTTTAAAACCAATATTTGTTGACATTTGTTGAGTATAGTTGTATATAGCAATACATATAGCTATATAATATAGCTTTTATAGCAGTAATTATGCATCATTGCCGTCATGTGGAGACCTCATATGTGGAGACCTTAATTCTTAATTTTAATTTTTTTTTTATCTTTGCTGTTTTTGTTTAAAATAGAAAAAAAGCAGCAACTGCTCTTTTTACTTTGTCCATTGTTGGGCATTTAGAGTATAGTTATGAAGTTACAAATACATTTTGACAGCGACCAAATATTTTCTTAAAGTATTGCTGATTTCTCTGCTTTCAATCTTAGTTTATATAGAGATTGGACTATATCGCTTTCTCATTCGATACAGATACTGAAACCTTGAATATCAGCCAGTACCAAGCTCTTTTTAATTAAAGCACGTCACTCAACATGAGCATCCAGAAGTAGGCTGTCATGCTCTAACTACTCAATCACAGCAAGGATGTTATGTTCTAATATTTTTGTGACGGTTTAAAATATTGAATAGTAAATTAGTTCCTCTCTAACCTTCTTATAAGGATATTTTTTCTGTTGTTACAAGCTTGACATCGAAACAATAGAAGAACCCTTTTTGGTGCTATATAGAACCTTTTTCAGAAAGGTTTATTGAATTATTGAATCTACAGCCCATACTCCGTCAGTGTGAAGAAACCTTTCATGATACAAAGGACCCTTTAATCATGCAGGGAGTTCTTTGAGTGTACATGTTTCTATATAGAACCATTTTCTTTACTAAAGAACCCTTGAAGAGAACCATCTTTTTTTTAAGGGTGTGCAATGACCCATTTAACTCCAAACCACTCTGAATGATTCTGTTTACATCTCAACCATTGAATTATGCATAAAATGTAAGAAATCAATGGAATTCCCCTTTGAGGCAGCCCTGTGAGAGTTGACATATGTTTCAGTTTATCATATGTTTACATGTATACTTTAACCTTGTTCATAAATGGCTCTCAGGGCACTGGCCTCAGGCTCACGTGTTGGTTTCAGCTCACGTGTTTCAGGCGTCTGTAACCTATGGACACTGAGAAAAGCCTGGAGTGGCATTAGTTGAGCTCCCAGCGAGAACATGACACATTCACTCTCAGTTTACTTTACTCACTGCTGATAAGATTAAAGACTAGAATTCCTGTGGCTGTAACTCATTGATTTCAGCAAGAGCTCAGGTGTCTTCCCTTAACTCTGTTTGGCACGTTTAAGTAGCTCAGCCTGTTCGACGAGGGGGGAAAAAAGCTGCTCGAGCTAATATTAGCTGTAGTAATATTAGCCTTTGAGCTAATATGAATAAGATGGATGTTCTGGGAATAGATCCTCTTTCCTCTTTTTCTTTCTGTAGTTCAGCTGTTACAGTATGAGACTGGAATGTATAACTTATGATACAGAAGAAAGAGGTTTCTGTTCAAGCAGCGTAAAGAGCTGATGTGCTGCATGAGATTGGAGACAGGTGAATTTTTACAGATTTTTTTTTTTTTGTTGTTTTTTTGTTTTGTTTAATAGAGTTTCCACATAATTCAGTGTTTGAGATCTAAACAGAATCATTCAGAGTGGTTTGGTATAAAATGTGTAGGTCTTTGCCGTGACTGAGCTGCTATCATACTTAGTTTTTCTCAGGTTTTTCATGACTCCCTTTTTGCTGTTATCGCCGCCCATTGGTGAGATAACTGGTGGAGCTAATTGGTGAAATGTTTGTTTACAAATTTGCTACATCATAATTTTGACATACTGGTATCATCTTTAAATATCATTTTTACATACTGTGGTGTACTGTTACTGTCGTAATGCCCAACCTTATTTCAGACCAAACTACTTTCAATAACTTTGTTTACATCCTAATCATTTAATTATGCAGAAAAGTTTGAAAAAATGGTGGAGTTTCCCTTTGACATTATGCGGTGACTCTGAACTCTGTCCTGTGTTATTAGGTTTATTTATTATGAGTTTTTTTTTATCACAGCGTTCTCTAAAGCATGCCCAACCTTGCAACAGTAGCTATAAAAGAATGTGTTTGTGGGCAGAGCCTGGACAGGAGAACTGTGACACATTTGTAGTTAACTGATCTTATATTGAAATGAGTATAAAGCCCATTACAAGTTTGATTCAGGCAGATATCAGAAACGGTTATTTAATTGTTTGTTGCTATTTGTTCTTTGTTGGAAATCATGTTGTAATTTGCATATTAGCACACATTCTTACATTAGGTTTACTGTGTGGTGCTGGTTAAAATAGCGAGTTAATGTGGGTGATTTTGTTTTTGTGTTTATAGGTCCAGTAAAACCATGAACCTGTGCTCTAAATGTTTTGCCGGTAAGTTTCCTGCTGTTCGTCTCTGAGTGGGTGAATCTGTGTGAGAAAGACATGACATTATGTTGTAAAGCAAGCTAATGTGCTCATGACCTCATGTTCTTTGTTTTTCTGGTGAAAAGTCATCTGTAACCGTCTGGCAGGCTTTAAAGGCTCTGATTGCTTCACTGCATTTCAGTGTTTTGCTTTCTTAAACACTCCCAGGACAGCTAATGAGGGGTTAGTGATCAGGCATGTTAAATGATGTTAAACACTAAACTGTCCTGAGCTTTGGCCTTCAGGACTGCAGTTTGACTCCCATGATCATTTTTCATCTCTTGTTCTACTTTAAAAACCAGTAGGGGTAAAATAATTAAAAAATAAATAAATAACTTTATTTGCAGTTCAATTTTAATCCTGTTTTATTTGTTTCACTTAGACACAACTAAATAAACACTTTAATACACACCTAAAAAACAATGTTTACCCAGTTTACCCAGACAATGAACAGTTCTTTTCAGAGTATCAGCAAATGTAAACAACAGTACAATAACATTAATGCTAAGGGCGTAAAGAGACTTTAATTGGACTTCACGTTCATGTTTTGGGGCCTGTGATATGCTGGTTATGCTGGTGGAATCTGGTATTAAAAAAGAAAAGAGTAGAAATTAATTTGAATTAAATTGCTACTTTTTGTCAATGAACTAATTTAATGAATATTTAAAATAAAAGTGAAGAAAATAAAAATGGAGATTTAACATACTTTTACATTCAGTATCCTTGAGAGCCTCAAGGCTGAAGCTTCAGCACTTGGCTAGAAAACAGTGGCTAAATTAGCCTAGTTAGCAAGATGATAATGATAATAAAAATAAATATACAACCCTGTTTCCAAAAAAGTTGGGATGCTGTGCAAAATGTAAATAAAAACAGAATGCAATGAAATGCAAATAATTTAAACCCTATTTTTAATTATATAGCACAAAGATAACATATCAAATGTTAAAGCTAAGAAATTTAATTATTTTTTGAACAATACATGCCCATTTTGAATTTGATGCTGCACATTTAAAAAAAGTTGGCACAGGGGTAACAAAAGATTAGTAACATTGTGTAATGCTAAAAAAAAACAAAAAAAAACTGGTGGTTAATTGGCAACAGTAATCAGTAACATGATTGGGTATAAAAAGAGCATCCCAGAGGCAAAGTCTTTTAGAAGTAAAGATGGGGAGGGGTTCACCACTCTGAGAAAGACTGCATGGGCAAATAGTGCAACAATTCAAGAATAAAGTTTCCCAACATAAAATAGCAAAAAATCTGTGGTATATAATATGATTAAAAGATTCAGAGAATCTGGAGAAATCTCTGTATGCAAGGGACAAAGCCAAAAACCAGTCTTGGCTGGCTGTGATCTTCGGGTCCTCAAACAGCACTGCATTAAAAACAGACACGATTCAGTAGTGGTTCATCTTTCATTGCTGCATCCACAAATACAAGTTAAAAGTCTACCGTGCAAAGAAGAGACCATATATTAACAGGATCCAGAAACTCTGCCGTCTTTTCTGGGCCCAAGCTCATTTAAGATGGACCGAGGCAATGTGGAACAGTGTCCTGCGGTCCAACAAATCAAAATTTGGAAATCGTGGACAAGGTGTTGTCCGGGCTAATAGGAAGAGGGACAGTCCAGCTTATAAGTGCACACTTCAAAAGCCAGCATCCATGATGTTATAGGGGGGCATTAGTGTACATTACTGCTGAGCGATATATACAGTTTTGGGAGCAACATTAGCTGCCATCCAGACAACGTCTTTTTCAGGGAAGGGCTTGCTTATTTCAGTAAGACGATGTTAAACCGTATTCTGCATGTATTACAGCAGCATGGCTCTGTAGTAAAAGGGTCGCGATGCTGAACTGGCCTGCCCGCAGTCCAGACCTGTCACCCTGTTGAAAACATTTGGCACATTATGAAATGAAAAATACAACAAAGAAAACCCAGAACTGTTGAGCTAATATATATAGGGTTTAAATATTTTGCGCATCATTGCATCCTGTTTTTATTTACATTTTGCACAGCTTCCCAGTCTTTTATAAATGGGGTTGTAATAACAAAAGTGAAGCAATAATAACGTGAAATTTTAAATAGCACCTTCTTAACACAAGGTTACAAAGTGCAATTAAAACAAAAGACTTAATATTAAGGTTTTCTATTCATTAGTTGGATGTAAGTTAAAAAATGTAAAATAAAAGCATGATAGTTAGGCCAGTCACAATAGGAAGGTTTATTTTTAACTGTAGCTCTTATTTTGATATCTAATAAGTGATCCAGTTTACTGCAAAAGAAATAAGCTGCTTTGTATAACAGCGACGTCTGGTGGTTAGTGCTGAAGGCTCGTTCTACTGTTGCTCTCCGCAGTCAGATTTTGTGCTTTTGTGAATGGAGGAGGAGCCTGTCAGGTATGTGTCCTCTGTAAAGGTATTAAAAGCCTGCTGTGTTCCTTTCTCAGACATCCAGAAGAAACAGTCGGACATTGAGTGTTCCACAAAGTCCAGTCCAGCTTCTGGAAGCAGCCAGTCATCCGTCTACAACAGTGACACCAGCAGCAGCAACAGCAGTAGTAGTGCAGGCCAGGCTTTACTGACAGTACAGAAGTGCTCAGAGCAGAACTCAACTAAACAAGCTGACCTCACAGCACAGGAAGGTAAGAGCTTTGGCTCCACCTGCTGGAGACCATGTAATAGTGTATGTGAGAAATAAGAACAGCTGCTCTATCACTCTCTTAAGCAGCACTTTCACTAGATTTTTGCAGTTCGCATCACCTTTTGAAATGGGTGTGACTGAGGCTGGTCTGGGAGATGGCTGATGGGAAAAAATCCTCCATTTCAGTGCAGTCAGCAAGCTAGCCAACTCGCTGACCATAAACAGCAACAGCAAAATAGTTCACATAGTTATATCAGGTAATTATATACTCACCACAGCGTTGTGCTATACACTGATCTCTGTAGCTGGTGTAGATAACTGGCATGGTTAGTGGCAGTGGAGTGACTTTTGTGCAGCCGCAATTAGCCCAAAAGCTAACACTGCAGTTGGCAAGTAAAATCACAAAAGTAAAAATAATAATGCCGTCTATAGTTAGTATAGTATAGTTATTTATAGTCAGTGGGGAAGAAATGCTAGAGGGTTTGTGTTTAAAAACTGATGAAATCCATTTTGAAGGTTCAGTGCTGCCATCTGAGGCCCTGCCCTTTTAGTGGTCAGCACAGCCAAAGCAGCAGCGCTATTGGTCAGTTCACGTCAAAGTTCCCCTAATTTCACATGCCAAGTTTATTCGCCCTGGAAGTCTGTGAGGTGAACTTGCTCATCAGGCAGACTGAGAGAATATCTAACTAAAGCTGCTTTTATAAAATTTTATCCAGCATTACAACACTGGAGTAAACCCAAGTTTAAAAAGTAGTTCTGGTTACTTTTGCTTTTCCTGGGTTTCCTGGTATCCATGCTATTCAGAAAACTCTGCCTGCTGGTTACAAATTGCCACAGATTCTTCCTGTTCATGGAGATTTGAGAGACTATATAAAACTATACAAATTCACAAACAGCCTTGACCGAAGACGTCGTGAAAATGTTTTTTTTGAAAACGTACACGTTTTGCAGACTGAATTTATCGCTTTCTGATTGGTGTCTGTTATGAGTTCCAAAGCAACAGGGTTTCAGTTCTTTTCAAGGAATCACATCATTGTCCATTGTAATCGGCCGGTAGGCTACAAATGTGGCAGACAGAGATTCAATGAAAAATTGAGGGATCAGTGTGAGTCTACTGCAGCCTGTATTCCCTCTGAGCTGATGTTTTTGGTCTGTGCTCTAGTTTCCCTGCAGAGCACATGGAATTTGGCATTCTGTAATGTGACCATGACTTTTTACTCAAGTTTAAGGCAAGGCATTATTGGCATTATTGAAATTGAAGCAAATCTTCACCGCGGATATATTAGTACTCCGTATTTAGACCTGTATACATCTTCTGCCTCAATATTTTGTGGGCTTCAGGCAAGTTTTAAAGGGCCTATGTTATATTTCTCTTGGATTTTATTTTTTCCTCGCTGAGGTCCACTTATGTGTGTGTGGTTTAAAGGCAGAAATAAGCTGTTTTTGTTACTGTGCCCGATAGACTGAAATATGTGAGATTTGTTCTTATTGACTGTACTGTATTGTGAATCACTCAAAAAGCAGTCTGAGCTGAAACACTCCTTTAACTTCAGTGTCAGTGGGTGGGGCTTAACTACTGTGTGCGGAATAGGTGGATATATGTAAATGTGCTGGTTTTTGTGACATCACAGATAGTGAATTTAGAACAAGATGTTTTAGTAGTTCACTTTTCATATATAGACTGTATGAGCTGGAGAGTGAATGGTATGTTTTGAAACTTTACCAGAAAATTTCCGGAGTTTTTAAACACTATGATAGCCCCTTTAATTAAAGGCAGTATTTTCATTAATTATAAATAAACAGCATTTAATTTCATGTAGACTAATAATAAACAAAAATGTGTTTAAATTGTTAAGTAGATCTATTTTTAATACATTAAACTCTATTAATACAGCAGTAGCCTCTCTATGTCCAGTAGAGGGGGCTGTTACCATCTTTATTGTGCTTCCTCTGTACACAAAACGTAAGATTTAATGGAGAGCAGCTGTCACTCTGTGGCAGGACTTTGGGTCTAGAATAATCCAGTGATTAATTGTTCAACAGCTGACTGTCAGCTTTAGTCCCAGTTAATGTTTCACTCATTCATATGATAAAAGTAGAACAGCATAGATTTGAAATGGTATCTTAGCAGACAGGCTCATTTGCATTGAGGGTGCAGGAATGTTGTAAAGTGGAAAATAAAGTCACTGACCTGAAATTAGGTACAATTACACAAACTGATCTTCTTCATTTTATTCATAGCTGAAGCCAAGCCTAATTAAAATGAATTAAAAATAATTGAAGTAACAGAAATGCAGACTAATCCTTTTTAATGTGTCAGAGCAAATTCATGAGGTAAAATAAGCAAATGTGTAAAAATAAAAGTGCCAAAAATGATTCCTTTTGTGGGGTTCTTACAGTGGATGTTCCACTAGAGATCCGTTTAAATAACTTTTAACATAATGGTTCTAGAAAGAACTATTAAATTGATATGTAACCTTTACATTACATACGTTCTTTAAACCATGAAAAGTTTCTTTACAATCTTTTTCAGAACAAAAGCGGTTCTTCCATCATTCAAAGAACTCTGTGTGGTGTAGTTGGGTAATTAAGAGTTTAGGTACTTACGTATTTTTTGTATGATTAGTACTCAAGTATATTTGAAATTAAATACTTCATACATGTTTTTACTTAAGTCACATGCAAAAGTTTATGTAAGTGAAAATAACACATCAGGTTAGGAACAAACCTAAACTACATTTTTATCTCATTTTTGTGCACAGTGTCAATGTATTTGCTTAGTTTAACAAAAAATAAAACATTATGTGTAAATTTGGCCATAACTTTTGCACAGGCCGCTTTTTTGTTTATTGGTTTGCCAATATGTTAAATTATATATAAGTGAAAATCAACAAAACACAATTTGACCAGGGAAGTCCAAACTTTTGCATACAACTATACTTAGAAACATACCTTTTACCCTTTGCATTTTCATGTGGACCTTCAGAGAATTTTTCCTTGTTTTTCTCTTGCCACTCAAGCTCCAACACATTTACTTTATTGAAACATCCAAATTGATAACAGTATTGATAATAGTGCTGTATCTGTGGTTTCCTTTCAGGAGCTTCACATACAGAACCTCTCTGCACATCAGCTAAACGGCCATGTGATTCAGGTATACCGCTAGTGCTAAAACTATGGCTGTGTTGGCTGAACTGTTGTTTGCTTGTTCTAATGTATGAATGTATGTATGCTTTTATTTTAGGACTGTTAAAGTGAACGTTAATCGTTTTAGTCGTATCTCTAGTTCAGACTGAAGCTCAGCTGTAGTGCTGTATGTCGCTCTGATAGAATCTGTGATTGTAGAGCTCTCGTTCAAATACAGCTTTTAAACGTCTTAAAGCAAAACCTTTAGCACCTTCAGCAGACTACGCTGGACAGATGCTTGCCGGAGTACTATGAATAAATCAACCAGCAGCAAACTAATAGCAGCAGCTTGTTAGAGCTTCATTTCCCCTTGAAATCCTCCACTGTAACAAGAACCCACAAGCTGTATGAACAAGAGCAAGAGATACAATCATGGAGGAGCTGAACCACTGACTGTGTATATGATATATACTCACTGACTGTATGTATGTGTTTGTGTATGGAAAAATAAACTTCTGAATATTTTAGTGCACAGGTAAACTCAACATATAAATTGAAATTGTGCTATAATTGGCAGAAAAATGCCAAATTTAAGTGTATTCTGTATAGTGGATGTGATTGTTTTCATTTAGAAAATCAACCAAATATACACTGATCAGGCATAACATTTATAACTCCTTGTTTCTACACTCATTGTCCATTTTATCAGCTCCACTTACTATATAGGTGCACTTTGTAGTTCTACAGTTACAGACTGTAGTCCATCTGTTTCTCTGCGTACTTTGTTACCCCGCTTTTACCCTGTTCTTCAGTGGTCAGGACCCCCATAGACCCTCACAGAGCAGGTACTATTTGGGTGGTGGATCATTCTCAGGACTCTGTTAGTGACACTAACGTGGTGGTGGTGTGTTAGCGTGTGTTGTGCTGGTACGAGTGGATCAGACACAGCAGTGCTGCTGGAGTTTTTAAACACTGTCCACTCTATTAGACGCACCTGCATTGTTAGTCCACCCTGTAAATGTAAAGCCAGAGACAATAGCTCATCTCTTTCTGTACAGTATGAGCTAATCATCCTCTAGTCCTTCATTGGTGGTCACAGGACGCTGGTCACAGGACGCTGCCCACAGGACGCTGTTGGCTGGATATTTTTGATTGGTGGACTATTCTCGGTCCAGCAGTGACACTGAGGTGTTTAAAATCTCCAGCAGCACTGCTGTGTCTGATCCACTCAGACCAGCGCAACACACACTCACACCACCACCACATCAGTGTTACTGCAGTGCTGAAAATGATTCACCACCCAAATAGTACCTGCTCTGTGAGGGTCTATGGGGGTCCTGACCACTGAAGAACAGGGTAAAAGGGGGCTAACAAAGTATGCAGAGAAACAGATGGACTACAGTCTGTAACTGTAGAACTACAAAGTGCCCCTATAGAGTAAGTGAAGCTGATAAAATGAACAATGAGCGTAGAAACTAGAGGGTGGTCATAATGTTATGCCTGATTGGTGTATTATTATCGGCTGGACGTGAGTAATGAAAATTTGAAACTGATTTTATGTTTAGGTTCTGCATTCACCCAGTGAAAAATGTTTCTAAATTATCAAAAGTTGTAAATATGTAATAAATAATCTATTCAATTCTGTCTAATTCTATCTTCAAAACAATCTAATCAATTGTTTTACTTATTTATATATTAACTTTTAATCTCTCTCTCTCTCTCTCTCTCTCTCTCTCTCTCTCTCTCTCTATCTCTCTATCTATCTATCTATGTGTAGATGAGGAGTCTGTGAGGAAGAAAGCACGAATTTCTCCGGAGGAGCAAAAGCAGAAGAGCCGTCGTCGCTGTTTCCGCTGTCAGAGTAAACTGGAGCTGGTTCAGCAGGAGCTGGGTTCCTGCCGCTGCGGTCAGTACTCTGCACTCCACCCTTAACGTATACAACTGCGTACACAATAGCTGTGTCTGTGCGATGTATTCTTTCGTAGCATGGCTAGATATGATCTCATAACAAGATTTGTCTTGAATGTTAGTGGCAGATCAGACTTATTAAGGTGGGAACAGATTACATTTTCCAAACCAGTCCAAAGATTTGAGAAAGTAGAACTCAGCATGATGGTGCCCTTTTCCTGCCCAGGGACAAGCATGACAGCACTGTGACTGTAGGCCAACATCCACTACCAGAAACTTAATGTTGCCTACACTTCCTGTAGTGTATTACAGTCTGTCAGAATGACTGTGTGGATCATATGGACATTATAGAGGGCTTTTTAAATCAAACATCAGTAGGAGCACATGCATCATATGAACATTAATATAGTAATAAGTAATTAAAATAATTGTGTAATTTAATTAAGTCTACAATTAAAAGCCATGTGTTCATAATCAATATGATGGATCATTGTTGCAGCACCAACTCTTGATCTGCTATGTTCAGCTTGTAGGCTTTTCGTCTCGTGATTTTTCTCTCTCTTTTGCTGTGTAGGTTATGTGTTCTGCATGCGGCATCGCCTGCCCGAGCAGCACGACTGTGTGTTTGACCACCAGGGCCGCGGGCGGCAGGAAGCTGTGAGGAAAATGGTGAAGCTTGAGCGCAAGGTGGGCCGCTCATGCCAGCGAATAGGGGAAGAGTGTTCCTGAGCCACAGCCAATCAGAGGAAGGCTCGAGTTGCATCTGAACACGTCCCATTTGTGCAGGTTGGACGTGGAGATGGTCAGTCAGAAAGACTCGGGGACCCGACCATGTTTTAAACTGCCCGAGCTGCTGCTGCCCAACTCTCAACTGCACTCAGCATTAACCTGGACTCTGAACTTGAGAGACCATTTGGTCAGTTCTGATTCTCTGCAGGCTGAAGCAGACTGTCCTAAAGCAGCATGGTGGAGGCTGGCTGCTCAGTCTTCAGGGCTTCTCAGGTGTGGGTGGAGGGTTTGACCACAGCTTTCTACCTTCTCCTCAACTCCAACCTCTTTCAAGGCCTTTCGGTGTGTGTGTGTGTGTGTGAGAGAGAGGCTGCGCTGAAGTTTTGTTCTTTGTTTGTTTTACTGGCAGTGGTAGTTAACAATGTTATGAGTGAGTAAAGTCTCTGAAAGACCAACCCAGGCAGCCTGAAGCCGAACAAATTCTTCTAAATCCTCAATGGTGACCTCCTCCAATGCATCCTCGTCTGTTTCATCCTCTCTTCCTCCTCACACCTGCTTCAGGATTGACACGACAGCAGCCCCATCAGAGTGTCCCGGCTGCTGTGGTTAAAGAGGTTTCAGTTGGACTCCTCAGGTCAGGAGTTATTTTTAGTTTGAGTCCTTTTTTTACACCTCTTTTTGGTTTTTGCTTTAAAGTGGAATGAAAAGAAATTAATATTAAACTATCTTGAACTTTTTATTTAACTATTATTTGATTTGCTCATATAGTTAGTATAGAACAAGTCATTTCTGGATTATTTAGAGTTGCTGTCCCCCACTTTAATTTTGCTGATTCTCCTTGTTCTGTAAAAACAAAAATAAATCTGAATGAAAGTGTGTTGTATCGTTTCCTTTTCCTGAGAAACAGAAAAGGCAGAAACACGCTGTGTTGTGTAACTTGTAATTTGATGGTTACCTGCTGCTTCAAGTGAAGACAAGACTTTTAAGTCATAGTTTCTGGTAAATGAGAACGGAGTCTGATTTCAGTCCTGACGAGGTTTCGGTTTTACTAATATGTGCAGACTCCACATGTGCCCGAACTTGAGCTTCTCTTTTGAAGCATTGAGGAAGCAGTAATTAATGATAAGGTAACACGTAAGCATCTGAAACTATAGCTACACTGAGCGGCTCTCTCGTGACGCTCGTTGTCATAGTAATGTCCTCACCAAGTGGTACTCTACGCATGCGCTTTGTTTTGGCTCTGATTCCCTGTAGTGCACACGTAAATAGATTTGCATTGGCTTTTTGAGTACAGAGCATATAAACACGTCCGTCTTCACCTTCAAAAGCAACGAATTCAGTCGGTTGGCGATAATATTTGCATGTGAACACAGCCTTTGTTGAACCACCCCAGAGAAACGCTACGTGCTTGTTTTCTTTTCCCGCCTTTTATTGGCACCAAAGGTTCAAACTGCGGGTCAGTCAAACACAGCGCAGTTGCACTCTTCAGCAGCAGGTCGGAGTTCTGGTCATACCACAGGTAAGTGTATCTTTAATTACGTTACAGATTGTTAAAGCAGCTCTGTTGTGGTTTTATCTCCTGTGAGAGTTCAGGTTGTTGTGAGGTTAGTCTGATATGTAGGTTTAGTGCTGTAGAAAATGTGGTGGTCAGGTTCACAGCTCTGTAAGGTCTGGAGGCTGACCAGGTCAAGTAAGGCAAGGCAAGTTTATTTACATAGCGGATTTATTACACAAAGGCAATTCCGTGTGCTTTACACAAAAGCAAAAAACTGAAAAATATAAAGTGAAGTAATATAGTACTCGAGTCTTTTTCCAGCACTCTGAATGAGGACGATCACTACCTATAATGCACCAGTCAGTGCATGGGATGTGTTTGCAATTAGTCTCCAGAAAATTCGGAGAATTAGGATAATAGTCCTACTCCAGTCCCTGCACCCTGAGTTCCTATCCTTCACTGGATGGCAGCCATAAAAAGATCATACTTTGAAGCAATACACAAAACCTTTGAGTCATTAATCAGTCCTTGGGATAACAGTGTTGGCAGTCAAGACAGTCCATTAAACCTAGCATAACTGATGCACTGAAACCTTGGACCTTTAACAGCACCCTGCCAGCTGGGTTAGTGAGGAAGATAAGGTTTTTTTTTCCCCCCCAAAGTACAGTAAGACTTCTAAGACACTATTCAATCATTGGGATTACAGTGCTGGCAATTAACATCCAAGAGGGTCAGTTAAACTCAGCATAAATACAACTAAACAGATGCCAAAGGTAAGTAGTGTGATTAGTGTACCGTACAGGTTAAAAAAGGAGATGAAGATCTTTTGGTTAAAGTACACAGAGCAATAAAGAACTACTTAAAAGTGAAACTGATCTCTGAAATGAAAGTATGAATGTGTTAATCATTAAACTGAACTAAGCAGGAAAAGCTAAAACTAATATTTATCTAAACCGATTCTCTAATAGGTGAATTTAAACCAGTTACAAATTAATAACTCATTGTCAAACTCCTTGTTAGTACATAGTCAAATCCTATTCAAGGAGTTTTCCTAAAAATCAGAATTTTAATATAATGTAAGGAGTTTATTTGGATAAATGCTGCTGGAAAATGGGCTTGAACAATGAATTAGTGAATTCAGTAGCAGCCTACTTAGTATGTAGCTCAGGTACAGCTTCCCAGGGTATATTTGTCAGGTCATCTGAGTTACTAGATCTGCTAAGCTGGCCACAAAGTGCCATCAAGTGTTTGAATGCTTCCTTTGGCACAGCTGTTTTTTCCTGTTCCTTCCAGTCTAGCTGACTGGGTAGATACTTTTTGCTCAGTCATTCATAAAAAACATGAAATCTTTTCACAAAGAGGTGATGCTACACTCACACAACAATAAACATCCCATGACTTCTTGTTTTGAACACATGTAAAGTTAGAGACTGTAGATAATCTGACAGTTTGTGTTAGTCACCCTGTAGACATTTATCAGTGGCCAGTTTCTGACCACATCTTGGATGGATATTTTTGGGTGGTGGCTCACTCTCAACCTAGCAGTGACACCCAGTTTAGGGATGCCCGTCTCTTTACCACAAGTGATTTGATGTGATTTTTCCAAGATAAGTGATGTTATTTCTACATGAGAAATTTTTTACAGTGTTAAGAGGGCCCTTTAGTGACTAACGCAACAGTAATCTGCAAAATTAACAACAGACATTTCTGAAATATATCTGGTTGTAGTTTGTTTTGTTTTTAGGAGTGAGAAAATGTAGGTTTAATCCGTTTGAGCATTTATTTTATGAGATATTGAGGAGAGAAAGTCAAATATCCAACAAATGTCCAATATAAAACCAACTTTACCACACTGTCCATAATGCAGAAGGATGCTACTTTTTTGGTGCATTTGGGAGAAAATTGGGGGAATTTGCATATTCTGGTATATGAGTTGGGCTGGGTGAGAAAATGAGTCACCAAATATACTTTAGCAACATTTGAAACGTGCAGTTTTATATTCCCTGTTCTAGTGGAGTGACTGGCGATCTGTTCTTCTGTGACCAAGTGTGAGTGATGAGACAAGTGGCGTAACTGTACTGTCCTACAGTGAGCCTCTTTTCTTTACATTCTAACAAGCTTTAGCATCGTTAAATCACGTCTGCTCCTCACAACTACAGCGCTCAGTCATATTTTAGTATTAGTGCATTCACAAGCAGCAAATGTAAAAGAAAGTAGTGGGTTCATGTGAGTTACAGCCCTGATTTAAACTAAAGTAAACTGAGGACGCTGTGTGTGGCATTCAGAGTGGGAGAGCGCTATCTTTCGAGGCTAGCTGTTTTTAGCAGCTGGCTAACTTGAAGCAGTGATCCGTCCCACTTTCTCCCACTCTCCTATGACAGATTTGTGAATTGTTCCACTGTTTGGCGAGTGTTTGTCATGTTTTGACCATAAAGGATAACTTAAAACAGCAACTGACCACTCAGGAGCAAAAATTAGCCTTTAAACTTGCAAAAAAATAATGATTTGACATTTATCTCGATATATATCAGTATGAAATGATACAAAAATTTTTTATCGTGAAAAGATTTTTGGCCATCACCCAGCTCGAATATGAGTATATAAAATTATATTACTGGCTTATTTGCTTTACTTTTTAATCTGTTTTGCAGATTAACCATGCCATCGCATCTTCAAATTCACAACATGCTCTGATAGCAGGGCATGACTAATGCAGCGCTGCCTCTGCTGAGCTACCAGAGATGATTGTAAGCCAATCATACCAACTAGGGGAGACCAGGAGGGGGGTCTCTGGTTTTGCTCACTCTGCAAATTAACGGCACTCAGCAACCGCTGAAACTGAACACAGGATTTTGGCTAAAAGCTTACTAAAGGACCTTATTCAAAATCTATAATTATAGATTTTGATATAATATAGAGTTTTTGATATAATATACGGAGTGAAACGGTAAGTTGTTACAGAGTGATCAGCAGGGATATTGCTATAGAGGGAGTTTCCCTAAACCTCTAGTGAAGCCCCTGCTGATACCACAGGGCACCTTCAGAGGTCTTGCACAGTTCATGCCTCAGTGAGTCAGAGGACCAGCATCATATTAGACATATTAGATCGATGTAAATAGTAGATGGGAATTAACTCAATTTTGTAGTTAAGTCATGATTAAACAGGAGTGTGTTACAAGACCAACCAGTACGCTGCAGTTCTTCCTGTCAACTAATGATGGCAGCAGTGCTGTAAAATTAAAGTGTGATGCACCGCACTGTGGTAACAAAGTCAGCTAAAGTTTGAGTATTTCTTCTCTAAATACACCTGCAGCTTCATTAACCAAACCACATTTAAGAAAGGAGAGAAACTAAAGCAGCTGCAGCTCCCCGAGTCTCACAGCACCAACTACTTATCCGAGCAAACTCAGTACTACAGTAAATGTTACCCCTTTAAGGTTGAACAAAAATGTGGCTATTTATGCAGTTTGATCTTCTTGTTTAGTAAAGTGATTTTTCCCCCAATTTTCTCCCCAATTTAGTCATATCCAACTCCACCCACTAGTTAGGACACCCCCAATCACACGATTGGCTTCCTCCGAGTCCTGTGAAGCACCACGGCATCTTTTTGAACCGCTGCTTGCTGCTTGATATGTAAAGAACATTATCTTATAACACCGAACATTTATACGTTTTGGTTTAGTTGTCTCACATATTATATTTTTGAACAAGTAAACACATGAATAAGAATTTACTTAATACATTAGACATTGTTACTCTTTTTTTATCCCCAATTTTCACCCGAATTTAGACATATCCAATTCCACCCACTTGTTAGGACACCCCCAATCACACAATACCACCTGTGGCGATGGCGATGGAGGAGTTAAAGACATTTTACAGCTTATTTTAGTTCAAATAAATTTAAGCTTGTTTAAATTTAAGCTAATTTATTTAAGCTTATCCTATTTAGGGTTTGTTGGAGATGTAAAAAGCTGAAAGAAACAAGTTAAAAAGAAACTGTATTTAGGTGAAAGTTGGATACTGTGTCAATATCTTATCCAATTAAAAGTAGACCCAAAATATGTCTTTGAGTGACAGTTAAACAGTATACATGTAAAATTTAATTTTAAAAGTAAATTATAAAAAGTAGAAATTAAGTGTTCTACTACTAGTCCTCGAACAAACTCAACTGCCCTCAGCTTTGACAATTTATTTTACACTGATATGGATTTGGATGGATGTTTTAATAAAAACAGTTAATTTAAATACACAGGAACTGATTGCTGGGAGGAACAGAAAAATGTTACACAGCACACTATTTAGCGAGGGAGTACGGAACAGTTTGGGATTCAGCCTGGGTTTGATGCTACTTCTGACTGAAACATGGATATTTTAAGTG